CAACAATCTACTGATAGTCAATACTTGCACTGTAAGTTATTTTCTACAAAATATTAAAGAACTTAGTTGGTCTAATGTTTGAAACTTACTTTTTATGACCTGAGGTGACTGGCATTGTTAACATACTAAAAATAACCGATAGGCTACTAAATTAAAAAATATATTTTATGGCAATTTAACACCACATGTTTGAATCAAAATTTTTATTTGTTGCTTGTATTTTTATAAAATTACAATTTTTGAAAATAATTTGGCAAACAAAATAAGTTTGACCCTAATTACATAATTTTTTATTTTCAAGACATACTATAGCAATTAAAGGTGATGGTAATTAATTGTTATTTTAACTCCATATTAAATCTGAACATTTTTCATCAATATTAAAATTAAAATAATATGGTGGTGTAATGAATACCACAAAGTTTTTAATAAATGACTCATATTTGATAATTAGACATAAATGATTTTACATATTTTTAAAAATAAATATGGTGTTTTAGTAACCGAAGGATTTTGGGATTTGGTGTCTGAATCAATTTTTACAGAAGCATTAGTTGCCTGTAATAAATTTACAACACTTCATTCTAAGTTTGTACAGGCAAATTTGCATAATGTTTCTCAAGATGTTCTTTTGGTAAGTTTTTACAACGGTACATTACATGGCATAATATTTTTAACATTGTTGTTTCTACTTTAGAAACTTAAAATACTTTATGATCCAACCAACCCAGCTTTGCGACCAATTTTACGTAAGGTATTCCAATTTAAAAATGAAACTGAGTCTATATCTGAACAAGATAATAATGTAAGTACATTCTACTAATTTGAATAAATTTAGTATTTATTTACTATTTATAAGCTGCTTAAGAACATTAAAAATGTTGAAATAATAAATAAGTTTAAAGCTTTTAAAAACAGTCCAAATATTCATATTTCAATCTTTCTCTGGTTTGAAAATTGATTATAAAGAATTAAACTTTAAAAAATTAAATCTATTATTTTTCATAATATGTACTTGAGATTTTATGTTGCCAAATATTTTTCAGCTGACTTATTCTATTAAAGAATGGTTAACTACTTACCTTATGATTATATCCAGACTATCTTCAAATCAATATTCAGATGATTTTGTGGAATCAGTATTATATTCTCACCAACCTATTTCTAATATCTCTGATTCTGAAAATGAGATAGAACACAAGTCTAGTCTTGGAGCTGGATGGGCTCACGCAGCTCATATACGCAATCATAAACTTTATACGTGGGGACATTCATCATATGGTTGTTTGGGTGTTGGACCACATATGACTAAAATTGCTACTCCAAATCCAGTCTCTTGGTTTGTTTACATACGTGTTGAAGTTATTCAAGTAGTATGTGGTCGAAATCATTCGTTAGCTCTAACTACAAATGGAGTAAGTGTAATTTTGAATATTAAAATCTTTTAACTAAATTATAAACTATATAGGTCTATTCTTGGGGATCAAATCATTATGGGCAATTGGGTACTGGCCGCCGTGGTCAAGCTCCATATCCAATGTTGGTGGATAGTTTATCAAATGAGTTGATAGTAAATGTTTCTGCTGGACAATATCATTCTTTAGCCATTTCTACAAATGGAAAATTATGGACATGGGGTTGGGGTGTTTACGGTCAACTAGGTCATGGAGCTATTGATGATTGTGAAAAACCAAAACTATTGAAGACCTTAGAAAATGAAGTAATTTTAATCTTTAAAAAAAATAAATAAAATAAATAGATTAATTTAATTCATATTTAAATATTTCTAGAATATAATTAGTGCATACGGAGGTTATTCACATAGTATTGTTCTTACAAGCAATGGAAAAGTGTTCACTTTTGGTTCTGGTTCATTTGGTCAGTTAGGTAATGGTAGCACATCAAAAATTACTTGTCCAGTTCCTGTATATGGACTCTCTGAACCAATTAAATGTATTTATACAGCATACTTCCATAATGTAAGTATAACTCAAAATTTCATGATAGAAATATTAACAATAATATTAATATTACAGTTAAAAAAATAATTTGTATCTTAAGCTAAAGAAATTATTAATTTACTAATAATTATTAACATTAAATATTTACAAAATCAATTGTATAAATACATAAATGTTGAATGTAATGGTTTAGTTATAATTGTATAAATAATTATTTATATATAATATTATACAATATTATCATAAACAATCAATATTTTTGATTATTCTTCAAATCATCTAGTTAGCTTTAAGTGATGTTGGTCGTTTGTATACTTGGGGTAGTAGTCCACAAGTACTTCGGTTTCATGCACAATCACAAAAACGAGCTAGAAATCAACTTGTATTAAATGAAGGTGATCAAGTAAGTTTTTACATTATTATTATTATTATTATTTTTTTATATATACTTTTAATTAATATATAATAATAATTGGCTTTAAGGCAGATGATACAGAAATTGATGCCTTGACTGCTGATGATGGCTTATTACATTTAAGTCCAACACTTGTGGATACATCTCATATTGTTGGAGATATTTTTCAAGTATAATTAACTTTATATTTTTAAAATATAACTATAATAATTTAATGATCCCATGTTTAGATGTGTTGTGGCTGTCACCATTCAGCTGTTATTAGTACAACAGGACAATTATATACCTGGGGACTTAATTTAGATGGTCAATTAGGAGTGTCAGGTATACGTGAAAGACTTGTTCCAACTTTAACATTAGTTGGCCCCCCTTCAGTTATAGTGGATTCATCATCAACCAGTGGCTCACTAATAAAAGAAGTTAGATGTGGGGCTGATTTTACATTAGCTTTAGATGCAGCTAATAAACTTTGGGGTTGGGGTAGTAATCATGAAGGACAAGTAAGTATTTATTCTTTAAATTAACTTTTAAGTATTGATTACAAATTATTAAATATTTATTAAATAATTTTTTTTAGTTAGGTAAAATTCCTGAAGAAGACTTAGCCAAGACATTATTAGATGGTAAAATGGTTATGATAAAGTCAACTAATAAAGTAATTAAAATCCAGCATGGCACTGTAAATAAGTTGGACTCTCCAATTGAAATAGTATTGCCACAATTAAGATTTTCATTTTCCAACATCAAAGATATACTTTCGATTCAGGTAAGTTATACTTATTATAATTTGATAGTTTATTTGATACTAGAAAAATTAGTTTTAATTTTTTTTGTTATTGGTTTTCTAGGTTAAACGTTGTATTAATTTTCCTGGATTACCTTCATTTGAATGTTTTCTTGAAAATCTAAATAATTTAAGCAATTTATATGGTATAGATTATTTGTTACAGTATGCAATAGAATGGTTTTATCCTTATTATAATATTTCTTCTGTTGTGTCAATGGTAAACTTGTTGAATTAAAATAATGCAGTATGATAACTTAGAAAATTTTATTTTTAGTGTCTTGAAATGAAAAACCATCAAGCAATTAGCAAAATTCGATTGATTAATAATGAATCTTCTACAGCATTGTTTCATCAATTTGAAGCGTTTGTAGAAACAAGAGATTATGGAGAAATGTTTGGGTTTAATATTGAAGGTGGTCATGAAGAGCGGGCTTCTACTCCTCTTACACCATCTGAGGGCTTTACTATTAATCTTGAAGAAGGGGAGTTATTAACTTCTCTGCCAGAGTCGTTTGCATTACGTATGGCCACTGAAGAAACCATTGTAAAAGAATGGCCTGGAATCGCTAAACTTTCTCAGATGTTTGATTATTATTTCAAATTCCTACTAAAAGATGATTTGGTTTCATTTTTACATGAAGTATGTAAAAAATAAAAAAACTAATAATTTAAATCTAGTATTTATAATAATTATATACATTTATATATATTATTATAATAATAATTATTTTTTAGTATCTTACATACTGGTTGACTAAGTCTTTCCCAGTTGATGCTTTAGAACAGTTGTTGAAGGATCGATGGGATCAACTTAATCATTCATTAGGAATTTTGTTATTATGGTATGTTATGACAGTTAGTGTTTGGTAGAAATTATATATATATTTATTATTTTAATCATATTTTCATTTATTTTAGTAACAATGATGTATCAAAAGCCTGTGACCTCAATGAATTGAATATAAAAATTATGGACCCCAAAAAAATTCTAAAATGTTTTTCTGTGAATTTTTGTATGGAATTATGCTCATCTGTTTCGAAAAACATTCAAATCAAATGTTTGTTTATCATTGTTATTTTTTACAAATATTACAAAATATATTTATTTTTATAGCTGAAGATCAAAGAGACTTTATAAAGTTGTTAGCTACTGTTACTAATTCACCAGGTTCTTCATGGATTGAACCAGTATCAGAAACTAAAACTGAAGATTTATTAAACCGTTCAGTACAAATTCTTAATACTGATAAACTTCAACCATTTATGCACTTAGAATTTCAAGTATAAATGATAAATTTATTTTCTAAATTTTGTATTTAATAAATTTTATTTTATTTTGTAGGACACAGAAGTTTTAGGGAACACATTATTGGCTTATTCTTGTGGCCATCGTTATTTATCAAATGAACAATTTAATAAGGATTCTCAACAGGTTGTTGCTTGTTTAGATCATTTACCTAATACTGCTGCAGCCATTCAATCACTTCTACAAGATGTTAGTAATTCAGCTTGTCCAAATTGTGTATATGAACAAATAAACGGTCTTATTCAAAGAGATTAATTAAGTTTATAATTTTAACACCATTATTTATTACAATTTTACTATGTAATTTAGTGCTTACAAGTGTTTTAAATTGAAATAATCTAGTCGAAATTAGAAAATTTATACTTTGTTTAAAATTTAGTTAAAATATTTTTGTTGTGCAATTATTTATGTTTGCTTTTGTTATAGTAATTGATAAATATATATACATAATACATTAATGTATTATACATAATTCTAAAATAAAATAATATCAAGTTATTTTTATTTGTAAAACTTATTAATTATTGTACTGATATTTAATGCAAAAAAGGTAAAGCAAATGGCTCATTTTTTCCATGGATTTGAGGTTTTACAGAAGTTTCCTTATTTTCAAAAGTCCATAGTGGTTTTAATCCTAGATTTATAGTTGGTTCATCTTTTTGATCATATTCTTGACTTAGTTCTTCTAATTCTTTAGGGTTATTTGTCACCATACAACATGCTCTTAGTGTGAAGTAATATATGATTTCCACTCCGCTCAGCAAACTGAAACCTAAAAATAAACCTGCTATGCCACCAAAAGCCACTATAAGAAATATAAAATATTAGTAAATTAATATTTATTCAACAATTATTTTGAATTTATGATTAACCTAGTAAATCTACCCAGCCAAATAATACTTCTCTTCTGTACCTCACCATTGGCCATGATACGAAACCGATTTCTAGAGATTCATTAATCTTATCAAACCTAGTGATGATTATATTAGTCCAACACTTTTATTATTTATAATTTATATTTCCTTAGATATTTTGTCTTAATAAATCATGTATCAACATACTGAGCATCTTGAAGTTTTTCTACTTCATAAACTGTATTCATACATCCCAATTCACATTGACAAGCAAGTCCATTTAATATTTGATCTAAAACATGTAGGTTGAATCAATAAGTTGTATTAAGAGAACGACATACCTGCATGTATTGTCTCCATCTTATTAACGCATACTATATCAAAATATACATTCAGCAGTTCCAATTTTGTATGTTTAACTTAAATATTAGACTATTAAAGTGAAATTACCTACTATTAAACTTAATATTATACGTTGTCTCGTTGGTTTTTTACGATTCTTTAATTTTTAAGTTAATTATAAGTATTTTTAAGTATTTATATTTTACATACTCATAATTATTATGAGTCATAAAACACACAAAAGTTAAAATTGAAATTATCGAACTTATATTTTGGTATTATATGTATGAGTAAGACGAAGACAACACATGCAGGTACGATATCTTAAACATCCATTGTGATTATACTAATTGGAGATTGAAAATTATAGATTTTTGTGAAAACATTATTAAGTAGTAAGTGCTTATGTCAGTGACGCAACTAGAAAAAGGCTAGGGTGGCTTAGCTCCCCAAAAAATATTCTTTATTGATTACAAATATACACGTAAAATTGTATTTTGTCACTAGGAAAAAAAAGAAATGAATATTTCCAAATTTATACAAGTTCTTTGGTGTTACATACACTTTGCCATAATAATTAGTTACTTATTGCACTACTGCATCTAGTGAAAGATTGTTTTCTGCGACGAGATGAGTCAAAACACTCAAAACATGGTTACGGTAAACTATGTTACAACGATGCAAAAGCGGTTTTCAAATTTATCCATAATTTATACACATCAAACGATATTGAAAGAACTACAAAACAAATTTTAAATAATTTTGTAAATGCTAACGATAGAAAAATACTGTTATGTATTAAAATGTTACCTAGTTTAAAGTTAACTTTTTTTTTTTTGTCATTTTACAGGTAAGCGACAAATTTAGTTATAATAGTAAATAGTAATACGTTTTTAAGAAACTAGTAAGATACTAGTGGTTAGTGTATAAAATATTGAGTAGAATATAGATACCATTTTCATGATTAACTTATATTGCTCACAATAGTGTCACATACCTACATAAAAAAAACAAATTGTTGTAAATCCAATGTGTTCTTCTCTTGGTTCAGATTTAAAAATGTATTGTGACTGTATATATAGGAGAACGATGGAATTGTCTCCTACAGAATATTTTAAATTTATAGATTTGTTATGGGGGCTATAGCAACCCAAAATTTGAATCCTAGTTGCGCCTATGACTTACATGGATATGTATTGTATCATCGATAAAATCTTCATGAGATCAAATATTAATCTGTAAATACGTACTAAGATTTTTACCAATACACTTTAGTCCGTCTAAATTGCAATATTTATATCCATCTGAAACAATAGTATAAATATAATTATATTGTTCAATAAAATGGTGCTATTTGAAATTATTATAAACAGATTATTTGTGGAAAAAACTAAAAACTTCAAAATTTGTCCGATCTAAATTTAAAATAATTAAAGTTATAATGTAGACATAAGTATACTGATTCTTTTATTATTAAACATTCGTTATTTCAAAACTTAAGTTTCAAAATGTTTTACATAATTTATAGTTGATAAATAAAACAATATTTTTAAAATAATTATATTTTTGATATTTCTTTTTAACTATAGAAGTACTCTTTTTACCTTTTGTTGACTGTTGTATATTTGAATGAAAGACAGATAATTATCTATATGCTTACAAGTCCCATACAAACGTGCATTAATATGTATTATAATGTGTATGGGAATTGGGAGAGAGAGATAGAAAAAGGATAGATAGATAGATAGATAATAATTCATTTTTGATAAACCGAGGATAATTAATAAATAGATAATTTTACTTTTTAATCATATAAATATAAATAACCAATAACAATGTTTTAAGTATTTACTATTTTACGGATAAATTCTGAGCGGAGCGATTAAATTATAAATATATTGATTTTACAATGATGTGCATTATTTTCTTTTTATTATTATTTACAATACATTATTAATCGGGTTAGTTACTAGTTATTACTTATTATTCCTTAATACAAGTCAATATTTACATTTTGTTAATGTGTTATTATTATGTACTTACTGACTACTAAAGTACTACTTGTATATAGTTAATACTCATATGAGTGTTACCAGCTTAACTCGATTTAAGGTATCTTAAATTTATTGGTTGTTACCGAGATCATTACCGTAAAGGGTAAAGTTGTTTCAATAATTATGCTGATTAAAGGGTTATCTTTTTAAGTTTTCGGATATCAAGGATTTTGGTTGACTTCATCTTTGTGGTCGGCAGAAAAATAATTATTGGAATTCATAATTTATTAATTTAAAGTTTATGGGCTAAACCTATAGTTTAAAAATCTATACTTGTTTGATTATTTAATTATATATTATAATAACAATACTTAACTGAAATATAAAATTAGGTTGGAATGAGGTACCTATGTATAAGAATTTACAACATTATTTAAAGGCTTTAAATCACGCCCTGTATTAGAGAACAAGGTTCACTGTTGATGATATTTTAAGATAAATTGTCTCCACGGTAAATGAAAAAGGAATATGTAAACATGAAATCATCAAAAAGTTATCATTCATATTGAACGATAAACGAAGTTGAGTAGTGTTTAACATTTATTTACTACAAATGATTCAACAAAAATGAACTATATAATTGTGGTTTTAGTAACAGATGTTAAAAAAAAATTTGTCTCAACTGCAAGGCTATAACAAACCCTCAATCCCTATTGACCAGTGGTTCCCAACCTTATTTATTCTACGCCCCCTTTGTAGATTTTAAAAAATCTCGCCCCCCCCACCTATAAATTGAAAAAATTATAGTTTTTTTGTTTACTTTACATTTTACAAATTAACTATATAATATTCAGAAAGACTACTTTTTTATTGATGATAGTAATTATAAAATATAAATACTTGTAAATAATATAATATTATAGTGGAATTTTAAATATAAAAAAATTTGATAAATAAAAATTTTACTTTGTGATGACTGCTTGCGCCTCCCCAGCGATGTGTATACGACCCCTAAAGGGAGCGCGCGCCCCCAGGTTGGGAACCACTGCTATTGACGTTACTATTATTTATTTATATTTATCAAGTTTCAGCGAAAGTAAATTAAAAATCAAAGATGTGTTTTTATATACGTATTAACGAATAGGTATAGTCAAGATAAATAAAAATAAAAATAATTGATAGAAGTTGAAGTTGTACAAATATTATCAAATATTATCTCATCTATAAATGTCTATAATTATTAGACTAGACAAAATAAAAATATAAAATTGTATTTTATTATTTTTTTGGTGTTTTTCATATATTTTGTGTATATTTCATATTTCATATCAGTAAGAACTAGGAAAGCATTTACTTTAATTTTTAAACCTGATCTTGTGACAACTGATTAATTATTTATTTATTGAATAGAAAAAAATTGTTAGAAGATTGGATTTAAAATCGGTATCAAGTTTATGGTTAAATAAGTCGTAGCGAGATCTGACGTAGCTAAAATAAAAGTTAAATAATATATTAAATTATTAACTCGCATCGTAAAGTACTAATTTTTTAACATTTATTACAGGATTAATTTTTATACGGTTTACTGTATTCTGGGTCGAAATTAGATCGGTTTCTTAGAACCGATAGTTCAATGTTATTAACGGGAATTAGTTAAATGCACTTAAATTACCTTTTTATAAGACAACTGCGCTCCGAAATAATGTATTATAAGTATATTTTGATATTAGCTAAGTGGTAAGTGCGTAAAATAGAATATGAAATAAATAAATATAAATAGATATGTTTAGAAATCAAAATATATTACATATTTGACGTATTAATGAAATATATTAAATATTGCTGACACACATCGACGTTAAATTAAACAAAATAATGCAGTCTTAAAATATATTAAGTAATAAAATAATACATATTTCAGTAGGTAATATTTTCTATAGTTACATCGCCAGTAAAATATTTTATGAAAAATTCATGATTTTTTAAAATATAACCCTATCTATATAATACGTATAATTTAGCATTATGTTGACTTAAAACTTGATTTTTAACTTAATTAATATTTTTTGTAACCGTGCCTAAGCACTACTTAACCCTACTGATAATGACCGAATGAAATATTTATGAAGTTCTCGTAGTATATTGATATTTGATAATTAAACATTTTTTTTTTTTTTTTTTTTTATTACGGCACTAGACTTTTACTAAAGACCTAGATTACTTATTGGGGATTATGATGATTTATGAATATCACTAGATCAAGCAAAGTTTACTATCACTCTATTGAACAAACCTAGAAAACCATTCCTATAAATTACTGCAGCTGTTGGCTTTTCCCGACAAAGGCGACAATCGCATTGTAATTTGGTAAAATTTAAATAAATGGTACTAAATTACATTTACCAATAGATTTATAGAGCCAAAGGACACATCCACATAGTTTCCTGCTGGTATCCATTCGACATTGAATCATACATGCACTAAACGTGTAGTTGGAGTCTGTCAGTAATGAAATTTCGTCTGGAAAAACGCATTTCCTTTGTTTTATCGTTAACTGTCGAGCGCCTTCGGTGGTGTACGTTTGTTTGCTATTAAAAAATATTTTCGCTATTCTCCTGGTCCACAGATGTTGCGGTAACGAGTCTACGATTAACATGTCGTCTATGCTGTGTATGAATACCTGTTGCATCATTGAAAATTAAATTATAGGGAATTTATAAAATAAATATATACTTACATAGTTTCAAACTTAATAGTTAATACCTATATGTGAAAATATTAACGGACGGACACAGTAGTGTACCATGTACTTTAAGAGTAGGTAGATTGTTAAATTAAATTAAAATTATAAATATAAAATAAAAAAATCTCACTCACCAGAGCAATAATTCTACTTATAGTTGTATCTCATTTACTCGACAAATTTATTTAAATACGTTGAAGTGAAGATAAATAAGTCGTAGGTGATATAAAAACGGGCACTTGTATACTCCCATAAAAAAAATTAATGGTAAATTCCTCTAAAAAGATTTTTCTGCCGTTTTATGCTTATGATAATTTTTCCAAAAACATTTTACTATCTTAAAATAATTAGAACCATTTAGCATTATCTGGAGGAGACCACTTAGAAGCAATTCTATAGTTATCCTTCAAAAATGTTTGTATTTTTAATTGCATTTATTTTATATTTACAAAAAAATTATATTCATCATTATTTTAATTTAATCAAAATTATATTTGTTGTTATTTTAATGTGAAACAGTTTTTATTTAATGAAATGTAGTAATTTATTGTTATGCATGCACGATTTTCTCAATTATTTGATTATTATTATTATTTATTGCAAATGATTAAATAAAAATTTTAAATCTTATAAAATATAAATGCAGTTTAATTTATCTCTATTATTTTTTTTAGGAGAATTAACATAAGTGTAATACTTATCGTATGTTTTTTTTAAAGAATTTATTTACGTAAAAGTAATATGGTATAAAAATGTCTGAAGGAGAATTTACAATATTTTTTGGGAGTTTAAATTTACATATAGAAACAGCTATTTATAGGATTTATTGTTACCTTAAATTGTTTATATTCGTGTCATTGTGCATTCTTCTTACCTTTAATGGGTTTTTAGTTACATTATCCATGTTAAACGTAATGGTCAATTTATTGTCTGTTTCGTAGACGTATTCTATATTAGCTTTTAAATAATTTTCGGGTAGCCTGTTGACCAATAAATAAAATCAATTCAATGGTATTTACAACTTGTGTTATACTTTTATAAAATGTAGATATAGATATGTATTGTATAAAATGTCAACTCTGATGGATGTGGATATGGATCGCACTATTTGAATTACCATGGCCAATCCAGTTCTACGTGTTTAGTATTGAAACTGTAACAAAATCCGTATTCTGTGAACACCGGTTCAAATCCCAAACAACAATTGTATGGTTCGCCTTTAAATGTGCAATCGTATAGTAAGTCTTCGCAATGATATACTACCTATACATAAAGCATTCCAGTAATTATTAAATATGTTTATAGTAATAAGCAGATAATAATATAAATATATAAATAAATAATAAATAATATATAAAAGTAAAAATTACTTGATAAGCTAAATCTTTAAATTTATCCTTTGGTAGCCAATTGTATTTTGAAAATTGTTTAAACATTTGAATATTTTCGTATGAGAACGACGCTACTTCGTTAACAAACTTAAAAAATATTTCTGCGCGCTCATTATCCGTGTTGTTATCGTACACACTAAAGTAATTTGTTTACAATTATATTAATATATTATACAACAATTAATTGTATTATATAAAACAAAAGATTATGTAACATATTAATATTTGATAACAATCATAATTGATATTCTCTGTTTTAAATAATTACGGGACATTTTATCAAAACTCATATGATTGTTTATTTTTAGTTTGAAGTGTTTAAGTGTTTTTCTATATTTTTTAAAATATTCTACTTTTTATGGTTTAGAACAATTCAAATAGATATAAATAACGTATATAGTCGTATAAGGTTAAACTGAATTATGGTTTAAACTTTAAATAGATATTATTGTATTTTTTTTAAATTTTTATTTTTTTAATTTAATTTCACTATATATATAAACATCATAAACATACATGTTAAGATTAAATAGTGTCGTATAATGTATTTAGAATATATTAATATTAATTATGATTGACTTACTTATTTCAAAGTAATAAGTAACAGAAAAAATATCGAGTTCGATGATTTATAACTACCTATCACTTGTTCATCGGCGGAACATAAATCGGTGATGTGTCCTTGTAATTAATCAGAATTCAGATAAAATATACTCATAATTATATGCAATAATATACAACTTACCCCGTAAAAACATAAAATTTCTGAGCGTTAAATAAGAAAGTATTGATCATAAAAATACTTGTATTATACTACAAAAATCTGCTCACCTCGTAACGTACTCCCATACTTTTTCATCGGAAGTTGGTCGTTTAGGACATACCGTTATAGCTGGAAATTGTACGTCCCAACTGTGGAAATCTGTATCTAATCCGGTAATGGTTGGACTTGTTTGAAACTTCTCCCAGAGCGATATAATTATGATAGAAGTAACAACGATACCCACAGATAAGAAACTAAACCACATGAACCTATAAATGAAATATATATCTTATGTGTCTTAAATACGAATATTTCTTTTTAAAATATAATTATTTCACCATTTTTAAAAATTGTTTTGTTTTTTATGGGATCTTTAATATTTAATATAGTCATAATTGTTTATGTTGTAGATTGAATTATAAATGAAAAATAAATGAAAGTTTTTGATATAAGTGATTTGTATTTTAGGGCTGGAAAACAAGTCATGTAAATTTATGGCATCAGATATAGGTTTTTAAAATAACTTTTTTTTATTGTTCAAAAGGCTTTTTCCTCTCCCAATACTAGAAAACAGTGTGAAGGTGTCAAGACAAAATGCATTTTATTCATGATTTATAAGTTATATATACCTATATATTACGATGTAATTGTGCCCTTTATCAAAGTCAGTTTCTTAAATTTCCATTCCTATTATAAAAATATTTAATTTCTACACTCTCTAGTCTTCAGTATGTTTTTAAAATGTCGCCTATGGATTTAGACACATACTTGACGATGAATAGGAATTTTATCAAATATGTAGTAGCGGTTAGCTGTAGCCGGCCTGTAGTTACTTATAAATATTTTTCTAATTATAAAATATAATGACTTTATTTAAATTTTGATATTGGATAAGTTTTCTTGACCATTAGTTGTTAAATAAATGTACAATTAATCAAATTAATTTTAATACCGTTCGTGAAGTGGTCGATCGCTTTGTGCTATGTATCTAACGCCGTGTAATGTGCTTTGGTTGAAAAATTCATTGAATTGGAGACGCATGCTGGTCTTCAATAGCTTTATTTTCGGAGTGTCGACTTTTTCTATGTTATTTAGACCGTCAAACATCATTAATGTTGTTTTTCCAACAGTTTACTTTATATTGAAACATTCAAACACATCGGCTGTGTATTTTATACATAGCACATAATAGGTATAATAATGACTTTGTAAACACGAACAAGTTATCTCTGTTAATCTGGCGTGTACGAAATATATGCTCAAATTATTGGTAATCGACTATGGTACCTATACTTTGTTATTGATTTATTTGGATTGGTATATAATGATAGTGACACGGACAACAATTATTTTGGATATATTATAGGCTGTATCTCCTAGTTTACTCTAAATAATTAAACATAATAGCGTTGAAAATGTTTCATGATAAGAAAAAACTATATTGGAAGACATATTATATTAGATCTAAAGTTTTAATCCTTTATGCTTTGAATAAAAAAATCAAAAGAGATTTGTTAAAATTTAATATGAGTTATATAACATTTTAAAATTTAGTTCAAGGTATAATGTATTATTTCAATTTAAATAGACGTAAAAATATTACACTTAATTACATATTTTTTTAGAAATGAACATTACAGATCAAATTATAACTTTTAAGCCGTTTAATATAACGTAGAAGCAGTTACATAAAGTTATTGTTCTCATTTTTATTTTTAAAATATTATTTTGTATTTTAACAAAATGTTTAAAATTATTAATCATTTTTTTTTAAATTTTTAGTTTTATTTTTAAAAACATATTTTTGTTATTGTATTTGTTTCACACAAGTGCTCGTTCAAACTATACACAAGCATATCACTCTTGTTTTTACAGACAAGATATTGTTGGTATTATAAACTAACAATTATCGTAAATGCGGGAATATGAACTATTTAGTTTCTAGTAATCTATTATAAATTATAATTAATAACGTTTTGTAATATTTTGTATTAAATAATAAATTTTGAATGAATAATGAACAATATAGTTTTTAACAATTTTATTATGCCATATTTTATTGTTTTAAAGACATATTTAGATATTTTTTGGAATTAGGTATTTGCATACATTCTTTTTTAGAGTTTTTAAGGTCAAGTTTAAGAAAAGTACTAATGTTAGTATAGTTATATTGACCTAATCGTATAAGGGATTTATTGGTATATATATAGACACAATATAAGAGTTTAAAATTTTAAAACTAAATAAATATGGTTTTTAAAAAGAAAAAATCATAAATTTAATAGTTGATTAAAGTTAATAAAATGTGTGTTATGTAGTTTTTGTAATTTTTAAAAATACATTTTTTTATTAATTCAATGGGAAAAAATAGTTAATTTTTTAAATTAATTTAACTACATTATTTTCCTCTAAAATTTTAGTTTTACATAGTTGAATATTATTAACATATACGTCATTGTATATTTGAGCCTTCGCGTTCATTCGTTATGCCTGTCTCCAATCCCTTCACTCTATAATTAGACTCACTCCCCCACTGTAAAACGCGTCAACGCCAGTCCTTGGACGTATAAAAACTAATATAGAATTTGTTTATTTTTCTGTCCTTTTTTTGTAATTGTTTTTACACGTAAAGGCTGATATTTATTATTTTGTGTGTAGTTTGGCAAAAGGCGACTTTAACGACAGAGTCGTAAGTGCGTACTGTACAATACATATGAAGATTTTTTTACCAAATTGTATTTCTTTTCATCGTTTTCAGTATCGGTGGAAGGGACGCGGGTGTATTATACAGCAATGAGTCGTATGTTCCAAAATTAAACTTCAGCCAAATGGATCACCGACACGGTTGTGTCTAGTGTACAAGTTTAGTGTACACCGCGCCGTCATCTCGTTGCGTCGCTCTTTTAACTGCACTATTCCGCGAATCAGCATGACGGTGGCGCAATGTTTTCGTCGTTAAAGTTTTCCACGTTACGGTCAAAGAAACACACGTCTCCGAAGCAAAGTGTGCAACACCGGAAATCTACAAGCAAATGTAAGGAGCCTACACGTGAGCAACATTGTATGTTCAAATATAATATTATAAGCAGTCAACAGTCAATTCACAATGGTGTTATCATAATTTGTTTAAGGGTTGCTGGAGAAGGTGTGTTCGACCCAGAAGAGTGAAGACAAACGAATGGTGTCCAAGCACAAGATTTATGAGTCCACTAATTACACGGATCAATGTACGGGTAAATGTTTATAATAATAGTAATATGCCTGTAATGTAGAACTAAATATAGATAATATAATAGGAATTCAATAGAAAATTAACTAGATAGTAATATGTATACCCACTATACATTATCATTGTAAAAGTCCCAAGTTCAAATTATTTAATATTGTGTAGTTGTTATTAATATCAGTTACTATTTAATAATTAATGGAGCATTGGTAAAGAAAAGTAGTTATAGAACAAATAGGTGGTTTATATGTACGTATATATAAATAAACATATGAACATTTTATGTTTACAGCGGAAATGTATTTATAAGCATGTATTGATGGTCAGGTAGATACTTTTATGGTAATAAAGATTAAATATAGGGAACAGTAAATTAAATTTAAAAATCGTATATATCCCAATAAATAATTTTGAATTAATGAATGAGTAATCATATTAAAAACTAATAGGATTTAAACAATTTACGATACTGAAACCTAACATATCTACAACTTTGTTTATATTAAATCCAAGTTCCTTATAATTTGAGCACATCATGTCATCATAATAATATTCTTTATGATACTCGAATTAGTATTTTAGTGTATATACCTTTAGTCTTCATTTTCAGATCAGTATGTGAAGCACAAAATCATCGACGTGTTCATTGAACGGGAAGACGGTAGTCTCGGGATAGTGCTGCGCGGTGGTGCACATCCGGATCCTGACATGTGCAAACCATTGACCGTGACGCACGTTAGACCTGACGGACCTGCCGACAGGTTAGTTATTAACTTAAATTAAGCCCAGATTTTTGTTCAAAAGTTTAAATATTTTTAAATTGATGATAAATTAAATACTGATCAAAATAATTATGATTAAATAATTGTATAATATAATCAGGACAGACTTGGTGGATATCGTGACTAAATATAAAATTTTCTTGGTAATCCTATTTTTATAATGTGTTTAGGACTATTTTGAGGCCTTAATGGCAACCTGATTTTATCATTGCATCTGGATGATAAGATGAGTATACGAAAATAATTCGTTTTATTACCAATCATCATTAACCAATAAATTTTGTATAACAAAATTGATTTATAATTAAAGGGATTTAATACCTACTGTTTCCATCTTTAACACACGTGGAACGGTGGAACATATAAAATTAGATATGCTTTTTATCAAACACACCGATTAATCTAGTGAAGTTATAAGAAATCTGAAAACTTATTTTAATTTGTTACTTGAGAGTTGATATCGATTTTCCCACTTTTTTTTTAATTTTTACTTCTTCAAAAATTGACAATTCTAGATACTGAGCTGATGTATTGATTTTATCATGATGCGTTTATTTTGTGTATGAATACACTATAATATATCGATTAAATGCTTCGATTTTCAAAAATAAGGGTAGTTTCAGATATTAAATTAGATCTAATTTATACTACAGATAAGTAAAATTAAAAATTCCCGGTACTTATTCTTATAACTCAGAAAAACAAACAGAAAATTGAGGAAAAACGGGAATTTTTATGCCAATTAAATTTTTGAAAAAATTAATTTTATTTTTTTGATATAACACAAGAAACTTGAAATTTTCACCAAATAATTATATTATAATTTTCTATTTACAATAACATTTTTATAATTTTTTCACTCTTTTTGAGTTATTTATAAATTATAACTGATAAGTATGAAAAATTTTCAATTTTTTAGTTTTTTTTTCTATAAATGTCTTTAAAAATTATTTACTGAGTTAATATTTTTGAAAATTCAATACTAGATCCTATATATGAATTTATTATATCTGTACAAAAATAATAAAATATAGGCACACATTTTTTATATTTGTATTTAAAGTTAAAATTTTGCTGAAATTTCTCAAATAAGCAAAAACTTGCAAACTATTTTGTAGTAAAAAATGTACAAAATCATTTATTTTTGTCTCTAAGTTTTATAAATTTAATACAATCTTTTTACGTAGGTATTTTATATTATTATGAAATTTACTATAAGCAATAACATTTTTAATTTATCTTAAAATATTATTTATTTATAGATACTATGAATCTATTTTTATTATTTCACGGTGTTTATAGAAAGATGTTACTAAATTTTGAGTTATATAAGTTGATATTATATGGTACGTATACATTGTATATATTGTTAATTATTATTATAATTAAATAATAATAATATTATAAATGCTATATTTTTAGAAAAAATTATACCAAACCTACTATAATACTTTTTTTTTATTTTATTAAAAAGTCCATAGTTATAATCTATAAACATGTTGGTACAATAAGTAATTTTTATATTAGATTAAATAGTGGGAAATTACATCCTACAAGAAGGGATGTAGGTAGGTATAGCACCACAGCACCACCTGATCTAATATAATACTAAAAGTAAAATAATTTATTTAATAACTATATAAAAAAACATACTACCTACTTAGTTTATAAAGGCTGAAAGACTTTTTCCGCTGAGAATCATTTTTCGTATACAATGACATATTATTGAATTAAAGTTTAATACACCATATGTTTTTCAGTCATATTTTGTTCATAATTTTTTAATTTATACTTTATCAGTATACATTTTTTTTTTCTGAACTTAAGGTGATGAAATCAAAAATGTAGAAAAGTTGATATTAAGTAGACTTAGCGAAAAAATCAAATATGCTTTTAGATTTATTATCACTTCAATAGATCAATACCAATAAAAATATTTACATAGTCTAAATTCCTATGTTCCATGTTAACAGAAATATGGTTAACAGCTCATACTATACCCTACTTAACTGTAATGAGGCCACATGTGATTTTCAAGTTTTAATATCTATTCATTAATTAATGTCTTTCTCTCTTACACTCTAGAATATCTTTAAATTATTTTTTTTCCTATCTTGATCTTAATTTATCCTATATTAATGCTCTTTTTTCTAATATAAAAGCCATCCTTAATTTAATTTTTCAAATTAATTTAAAAATGTAACCGTAAGAGTTTTACATATATTATATTACATTTGATCTTATTGTTGTTTAGTATTTAACTCCAAACATTTGTTGAAATTAAACTATTTCTGTTAAAATCTTATTAAATAAAAATAAACCGTCAGGCGTCGATTAGAAAAATAATTTATTTTTTCCGATTGGCCATGGAGCCTATAAATGAATGTCTTCTGCGATTAGTTAGCGAATAACCATCCTGAAGTAGATACCTATTTATAAGTTATAAGTTTCGTATTGTATGTTTTATACCAGGGCCAATTAACGTAAAATCACCCTGCTAGGTCCAATTTAAATGCTAATATTTTATTGGAATAATAACTAAAGAAGTAATAAGCATATTATTACAATACATTGTAAATTTCAATACATATATTAACTTACTGGATTTTTTTTATCAAAAAACTATTTATATAGTTATAGCATTTTTTATGATAACAAATTAGGTTATTAAATAAGTAATCATTGATTGATGTAAATAAATAATGCATTAATTTATTTTTAGAGAAGGCACAATTAAGGTCGGTGATCATTTATTAGCTGTTGATGGTGTTTCATTAAATGGTTTGATATTAGCTGACGCTGATGCAGTACTTAGACAGTCAGGCGGAGCATGCCGATTGACCGTGCGATACCAAGTATCGGCGGCAGAACGAGTTGGTAACGCCGCTTGTCCGCTGTTGGTTGAAGTCGAAAGTCCGAGACCCCATCAATTAGGTCTAACTTTAACAAACACAATCAATAATAGCGCGGTTGTAGTCGATCACGTAAAACCTGGTAGCATTGCCGAACGGTAAGTCTTAAAACCCAGATATAATTATATTACAATTCAAACACATTTCGAATTTAAATTAACGATATTTAGTAATTTGTACATGAAACATTTCAAATTCAAATATATATACAATTTAAAAATATTTCTTTATTTTATTGAAAAGCTGTACGTATAATACATATTATTATCTGTATATTCTGTCTATTATAAATATTATTAAGATAATTAGTGTCTTCTCTTTCTAATCCACGCACAACAACAAATTTGTGTTTAAGGACGAGATTTAATTTCAGGAATATTATCTGTGTTCTTAAGCTAATGATGCTTTTAATAGACTTATATAGACAATACTATTATATACTATTAAATAAAATCTTTTTAACTATAAATGGAATACTAAGTACACCTTTTATACCCCACATTATGACTGTATTCCATTTTTCTGTATAAACATGTACTTTTAACTATCCATATTACCATGTGAAATTATATTTTTATCGAAGTTGCGGTGCTATATTTCCGGGTGACCAAATAGTGGCAGTCAACGACACGAGAGTGGCCGGGCTAAGGACAGCCGCCAGTGACGTGTATAAACTGCTACGAACGTGTGGAGGCGCTCAGTCCACTCTCAGATTAGAAATAATACCGGCATTTACTGCAGACTTAATACACGCTGAATGTAAGTGCGAATATGTGGTTATATTTTATAATCAAGTATACTACCAAATATGCTATATAGTTGTTCTAAAACGATGTTTTTCCAAATCAATTTATTTTAATTTATTATTATGGACGACGACAGTGTGCATATTTGAATGTTTATTTATGAAACAAAAAAAGGCAAAAAAATAAAGGCATAAATGGTATAAAATATCATGGAAAAACTCATACTTACAAAATAAGATCTATATTTATTTTTCTTTTTTTGTGTAACCATCATCTAATAACTTAGTACTTACATAAGCTTGTAACAAAGCTCATCAAAGCTCATCAAAAAAATTATAATCGCGCAATTCATATATTTTCTAATTAAAAAATTATCAACGAGAATAAGTTCGATAAAAATATCGAATAAAGGTGGGATCACCCTTTTAGCATTCCCTTTAAATATATGATTGACAAAGGTAGGTACCTAATATCTATATTTATATAAAATTATAAATTCCTATTACATTCATATTTATAGACTGTTCGTCGTACGATTCTCGCCAACATTTATATTCCGTATACGAAGATCCTATCGATCCGGTAGTTTGGGAACCAACGGAAACGCGTAAGATTAATTTTAATATAATATTTACGAGAACTTTGTCATCTCTCTCGTCATTATAACATATTTTTAATTTTAAAAATATCGATTTGTGCATAGATAACGTAGTACGTGTAGATTACACTATATTGACTTTGGTAGCTGACGAAAATGGTTGGTTTGGAATGGACATTCGATCGAATAATTTGTCACTGATCGTTTGTTATATTGAACCAGGAGGACCCACTGACAGGTTACATTCATATGAAATGTCCCTTTTTTCTACCAACTTTCCTGTTTAATTATCTTTAATATATATTTTTCTTCCTTACTAGAACCGGTTGCGTACAAGTGGGCGATCGCATATTATCTGTGAATGGATGCAAAAGCAGCAGTTTTGTGCCTTTATTCCAGCAACCATTACACGAATTTTTAGGACCTGAAGTAAAAAATGCCTGCATCAAGGTGGAGTTTGATATCACAGATTCTGTAGTTCCCACATCGGGAGAATTTACAGTGAAACTGCTGAAAAATGACTACAGAAGTCTCGGAATTACGATAACAGGTAAATTATTGTAACCTTTATCACGTATTTACGTATAATAGATAATAATATAGTAGTAGCCGCTTATAGAAACATGGATAATTGATATAATCGCGTTATTGAAACAAAATGTCCCGGAACGGGTTGGCTGTGTATTAGAACAATAAAAATAAATCGGATTATTGAAACATCATTGGTTATGTGAAACAATTAGGCAAAGGTCAGTTGACGCATGTACACCGTCTATCTAACGATAACCAATGTTCTTTAATATTATCTTTGGTATTGTTACGTTCATTTTTACTGAACTTTATCGAAGTACAGCACTTATTAAAAAATGCTCTTTCCCGTACGTATTATTTTTAGTTTGAGGCACCCTTGGCACCATCACCAAGCAAAGAAATTATAGAAGCTCTTAGTGTCCTCAGAAGAGCAGATGCACCATTACTCGTATGAAAATATGGTCATGGAGTTATTACTCAATACAAAAAATAAACATTGATAGATACTTATTTTAAATAATATAGTAAAATATACACATATTTTTCTAAATTATACATATACATAATTAATAATACATAATATATTTTTTTAAATAGATACATATTAAATATATTTTTTTAATTTTATTTTTATAGTAAAAATTAAACCAATTGTTTATTTGAAACAATCGGTTAATTGATAAATTTCACCGTGGTCCCAATAAGTGTTCCTAATAAGTGGCTTCTACTGTATATATACAAGTACATTAATACAATGTATATTATTAAACGAATAGGTATTCTGTTTTTGCATTAATTGTTATACATGGACAGAGGATATTTATAAATTATAACTAATTATCATATCACATTGATCGGTGTTTATATAATATTATGTAGACGATGGCAATGGGCAAGTGTGCATTTCGGAAATCGTACCTGGTTCTATAGCTCATCGGTCAGGCACATTAAAAATTGGTGACACATTGTTAGCTGTAAATAATAAATCATTGATTGATTGTACTAGACAAGAAGCAAGTAGTATACTCCAAGAATCTGGAGACGTAGTGACGCTGCGAGTACGGACTTCTAATACAGCTATAGGTAATATAAATTATACATCTTAATACACCAATAGATGTAATAATATATAATCATTATTTTAATTAGGACAAATTTGATTTTGATTGTAAAATATTGTATGTTAAGCAAAACAATTATACATCATAATTATTTAAATATTTTTAAACAAAATTAAGTTTTAAAGAAAAAATAAATATTTACAAATTAATAAAAATATTATATTTAAATAAATAAAATTTCTACATCTACATCTGCTTTAGCTAAAAGAGATATTACAAATTTTTTTTCTTATTTTAAATTATCTAGATTCATTTAATTTTTACTTAATTTTAGTAAAATATTCCAATCACCTTAATGAAATGAATATTTTATTTTCGATGGAAATCTGATATATTTCTGTTATTACGGATAACTAATAAAAAAAACTTTGAGACTAAATTACTTAATATTTAACACTTGTACGTAACCTCTATCAAAAATAAAAATAATGAGTTGGCGTAACTTAGTGTTTTAATACTTATTTTATTAACTGTATACAATGTAATATATATAATACGTTTTGGCACTGCTAGGTTAAAAACACATAACTCTAAATTAAGTGCATTATTTTATATTAATTATCAGGTGTTTGATGTTTGTCATTTAATTAATGTTTTTTAAAAAATATATATATTTATAACATGAAAGAATTTATCTTTATTTAACAAACACGATTTTAATTGTTTTTTTTTTTTTTAATTTATACTAATTATAAACTAAGAAATTAAAAGTTATACTTGAGAAAACAAATTTATTTTTTATTTATTATATTTTTAAATGATTGTTTTACTATTATTTTATTTATTTTATTGAAATGATACGACATTTACTATAGATCTAACACAAACATACCAAACATTTAAAATAAAATAAATGATGTCTTCAGATAAATGAAAAATATACCTAATATTAAACAATAGTCAAATTAAAATCGTATATTAAACAATTAGTACCTAATAGTTATTTTTTATTGACTATTCTTATTACCTATTTTTAAATTAAAAACATGTTTTACTTATTTCATTTTATCAAATAATTAATTAAGTTCTTATTATATGGTAGGTAGATAGGTTGTAATTTAAAACTTATAATGTATAATTTGTTTTTATTAATATTTATATCAAATTATTTGTTATTAAATAGTATACAATATATTCATTATTGTTTATTTGTGAATATTTAAGCACGATGATTAAAAATGTAGAATGATAAATTGTAATTACAAGGATTAAACATAATTATTTGATATGATTATTAGATGATTATGAAAATGAAGATGATTTAGTTCAGTATACAGTAGAACTATACAAAAAAGGCGAACCGTTGGGTATTACCATTACAGGTTCAGAGGATTCCCGATTACCAATTTCTATACAAGAATTATCACCAGGTATTAAAAATTATTAAAATAATCATTAAGTTTTTATAACATTTTTTTTTTTTTTTAATACATATTTAATTGTACTATATTATTTTACAAATAGCCAAATCAAAATTAAATTATAACTGTGCAAGTTTTAAAATATTAAATTTAGGTTTAATGTATATAATTGGTTATGAATTTAGTTTTGTCCAAAAAGCGTTCCATATAGTTTTAATTTTAAAACTTGACTATACACGGCATTATGGTAACTATTTTATTCCATTGGATCCAATAACACATGTATGTAAATCAAGTTTGCGTGTTGCGTAGAAAAATGGTGACGTACAATTCAACAGATAAAATCTTTATAATAATTGGAATCATTAATGTAAGTTACGGTTATTACATTTACTCAATGCACGCAAACCATAAAATCTAATTTTAACAGCAGCATAAATATTACAATACCTATTACTTATAAAAGCTTTATTTTTTGATTTTATCACAGGTATATAATTCATTTTATTTTTAAACAAAATAATGCCTAACATGGAATTATATTTGTACACAAAATATATTTTATTTTTATTTAAGTATACAGAGTGATTTATAAAGTACGCTCACCTCCCATTTCTTCTAAAAATAATGCAGTTGGAATCTAGATTTTGGAATTTTTAAGAATATTTGCATCATGTTCGCGCATCAGTTACCGGTCGCAATATTATCAATGTAATGTGCTGTTATCCTGTAGGTGGATTGGCTGATCGAACGGGTGCCATACACGTGGGTGACCGTTTGCTGGCGATCAACGGCGCAGATCTATCTGAGGCACCGTTGTCCACTGCTATAGCACAGCTACAGAACACCGACGACAGGGTGGTAATCACGGTTTCACGGCCGCAACAACGATCGTTGTACACCAGTGCTGGTATGCTGTCTGGTTCGGCCGTTGCCGCAGAAGACTCGGCTATCGAGTCGGACACTTGTACCCGATCGGCGCCCAACTTGCATGAGCCAACACCCGACCGGATTGTATTCCGACACAGGTCCAAAAGCGCCCAGAGAAAGGTGCCGGAGTTCGACAGTGACTATTTCGGCGGCACGCTCCGCCCGTACTACATACGCGAGCACGCCGACTATGACATTGATAACATATTCAAGATTGCCGAGAACCAGGATCGGGATGGGCTGCTAGATTTCGACCTGTTTCAAGTAAGTCGATGGATGTTCTAGCTCCAAAATCGTGTGTTATAATAATATTATACTACAGTTTGCTGCAAAATTATTCACTAAGCGTGTTAACTTCATTTTTTCAATTAATTTATTTAAATTCTGATATTTGCTCTTTTAAATACCTATACTTTAAAGACCGTATTTTCAAATTCTTATGATATTCTGTACTACTTTAGGAATTTCTAATGGTGATACATACTAAGAGCCTTTCATTTTTATTGTAAATTATTTAGTATATAAAAAAAATCAAATACTTTAATTTTGATGCGTCTCTACAAGAATTTGAAAATATGATCCTAAGTATGTTCAAAAAGTCCAAGAATCAGATTTTGAATAACTGCATTATTGAAAAAAATAATTGGGATATCCAATATACTTATTGAATCACTCTATAATACTAATAACTAATCTTGATATTAAGTTTCCCAGTTGCAGGATTTCAACCTGTTTCACTAGGCAATTGTAAATTCCGTTGATTTTAATTATTAAATATATTATTTTTTTATAGTTAAATTTCAGAATCCAGTGGTATTAATTTTTGTTCTATATTATTATCTCTTACAATAGGTATTATTTTTTAAACAAATGTTTATTAAAATTGTTAATAAAATGTGTACTAGAATTCTACATTTACATTCATGGTAGATTTTTTTAATTTACTCCTTTTATAGTGAGTCTGTATTTTGTTGTTAGACCTAAATATAACATCATAAATGGGAACGGGGTTTTAGGCCATATTTATAAAAACTACAGGTATAAAATAACACCGCCTTCTTTTGTACAGGTTACTCTGTTCAAAGACGCGGTGTACGAAGATTTCGGATTCAGTATATCAGATGGTTTGTACGAGCGAGGAGTGTTCGTTAACAATATCCGAAAAGGTGGACCGGCTGACTTGAGCGGCATGCTGAAACGATATGACCGTATAATTCAAGTAGGTGTTTATTCAATTTTTTTAAATATATTTATTTATCGTACAATGTTACAAACAGTATATTTACGCTAAGAAGTACCTCAAGTACCATTAATATAATTATTTTACTTGTTATAACTGATGCATACATAATGATCTTCCCTTACGAATATGTATTAATAAATGTCAAACAATTTAAGGAAAACACTAACCTGATTTTTAAATATAATTAGCTAATAGGCGTTTAATTTTTGTCGTCAAATTATTGTAGTGGCGTTTATCGGCTGGGTATCTAGTGTTTTGTTAGACAACACGAGCGCGTTGCTTTATTGTGATTAGAGATCTTATATAAATAAGGAGATTGTTAGGTGACTTTTTTGGAGGTAGTCATTTGGGTGATTCTTATATCAATGATTGTATGTTGTCTGTGAGTAAATTAACAACATCGTCAATATCATTTGTTATTTTTAAATTAATTTTTAAGTCAGTTTTTCTCGTAAAGAGTGTAAACATTTTTTCCCAATTAGTTTGATATTGAGATATAACCGAAGTGTTCAGTTTCTTTGGAGGTTGGCAGTTTATGATAAGCAGAACTGGCAAGTGGTCAGATCATGAGTCTAAGAGGTTGAGAGTTTGTGTATGGAGGTTATTAAAAATTTTAGTGATAAATATACCCAATATATCGGAGGTTTTATGGCGAGATGTAAGCCAGTATGTGTAGTTAAGAGAAAATAGAATAGATATGTTAGAGTGAAATATAGACTATAGGAGAGAGAGTTTCCTCTAAGGTTTGTTGCACGGCAGCCCCATTAGATGGAAACATCGTTATTGTTTCCATCAGGCTCGAGGTCAACGAAAAACAGAGGTAGATAGTTCTTGGCTTGATAGCGCAGGATATAAGTTATTTTCCTTACAGAGCAGCCAATTTTTTCTAATACTGAGCTAATTTCGATAATGTTTTGTCAGATTATAACTGATATGTATGGTATTCAGCATTGTTATCATTTATAGAATGAATTATTTTTCTACAGTTCGTTTTGGTTTTGTAGTATTGTTGGCTGGCATAATGAGTTATCTTGGTTCAAAGGTCACCGCGCGCGACGATACCTCGGGAAATGTTAATTTGTAGGTATTATTTTTATTTATGATTTATATTATATTAGTAATAGTTAACTTAATTAAATTAGAATTTATCGAGTGTTATACCTACCTATCAACGCATTTCTTTTTTTAAACTACAGAAGTAATAGCGTTCTTCAGTCAACTTTCGCCTTTCTTCCTTCCTAGGAATTGAAGCACACGTATTTTTCATACGTTTTAGAACAATAAGCGGTGGTAAATTACACATACTTCGAATTGTTCGATTTAAATTCTTAACATATGTATAAATTCTTTGACAAATTATCTAGGCTTTTTAGGAAGTTCATTTTCAATTTTCAATTTTAAAAAACCTTAAAATTAAAATATATTTTTCAAAATCCCTTGAAATAATTGTATAAATTTGTATTTATTTTGAGCATATCTGATTTTAAATAAAAAATGTGATTCCTAAAAAACATAGTATAAAAGCTTATAAATTCAACTGTTTTTTCGAAATTTTAGGAAGTATGTTTAATTTACTACCACTTTTAGTAATTTTTATAGTTATGATAACAAGAATGTAATTTTTTTCGTAATATATTGACATGTGCGCAGCGTACACGTATGAGAGTTACTTCCGGTGACTCAGCGGTAGCTCGATGCAGCGAAACAGCGATTCTTGGAAACAATTATCCGATAAAGATTATTAGATAGGTATAGAAAAATCACTAATAGACAATAATTTTAAAGTGAGTTATGGGCATTTTAAAGTTTCAATATTTTATATACCTAGTTATAACTCAGCTTAATATTAAAATATCAATAAAATTTTATGTCATTGTCTAGATAAACATCTTACCTTTAAGTTGATAATAGGTAAATTTACTCTAATGTTAGAGCTAACAACATCAAATGGATTCTGGTGAACGAAAATTTGCTATGTTGTATGTATGTAAGACAGAGATAACAAATGCGAGTGTGGCGTCCTCTTAATGGGCGATTGGCAGTATGATAAAAGCGATAACAGATTATACACACTAATGCTCATTTACTACTCACTCATAGATATAGCCAAAATGTTCATATCAAACAAATTGCTTAAATATTACTCCTAAAAATATGATACGCTGGAACCCCCTTAAGATTAGATACGTTAAACTGAATATTTCACGAGCAACAGTTCGCGTGCGCACTGTAAGGTAGTTGCGCGAGAACTGATTAAAAAAATTATACTTATTAATTAATTATATACCAAAAATATTAAAGCATACTGTCATGTATTCTATATGCAGTCAATATAAAAATGTTTTACGTATAATATTCTATTACTAAACAATATAATATATTGTTATTTATTAACCACCTATCGACATTTTCAGGAACATAATATGATAGATAATATAATGGACACTAATCATTCTGTGATATTCTACAGGTCAATAATACCAGGACAGACGATTCTGATTGCTGTCTGACCGTGCCATTGGTGGCGTCTGCCGGTGACAAAATTACACTGACCGTGGAAAGACGGCACAACATGCAAAGAATTCAATTTCCTTAGCGAATTGACAGTCATGCATTAAATTTACTCTTATGTTATGCTGTACTACATTGGTTTCTCTTTAAGTTGATTCCTCGAACCCTAATTTTTTATTTTGGGTTGAAGCTCCTTGCGTTTTATGTATAATTTATTATTATTATTATTATTTTTGTAAAACGTACTGCGTACAATACAGATAACCAGTAAAAACTAATTCTATTTAACCATTATAACTATTTAATAAGTATTCGTTAATATTGCAATTATAATTTAAGCTACAATCAGTATGTTACATTTTTATATTTATTTTTTTTTTTTTTGTACTCATTATTTTTATTTTTCCGTTAATTATAAAGTTTTTATTTATACGTTTACGTGCGTGTGTGTGAGCGTGATGTATGTGTTCATACTTGGATATCCTTTAACTGGATATTTTGAGTAATTGAAAGTATACTATAATAAATTACTATTTAAAAGTAATCCTCAATGATTATTTTAATATTCAGGATCTGATTTTTAGCATACAGTGCACTTTAGAAAAATACTCATTTATAAACTGTTAGAGATTTTATTCATTAATCCAAAATAATATACCTATTTCTTTTTAAATAAGTAAGTACAATGTTCAATTAGAAAAAGTGGTATATACTCGTATATAAATAAAATTCAAAAAACAAGGTACTGCCTAAATCAGTGATCGCCAACCGATGGTCCACGGTAAAAATTTGGTGGTCCACAGAAAAATATGAACATTATTTGTCATGTTGTGTTTATAATCGTAAAATACAAATATATTTTAAAATGACTATAATTTTGCTGTATGTAGGTTCAGTTTACGATAAAAAAGAAAAAACGAGTCTATAAAAATATGTATATATTATCCTAAAAATACTGTCATTACTATCGCATGTTATAAAATATATACATCTAATATCATTATCGCAATACGTTCTAAGAACGCTAATGATTCGAATCCAGTCTTCATTTTAACTTTTATTTTTTTTGTAATCAATAATATCTAAACTAACTCAAATAATTTTATTATAAATAAAAAAAAACTTTTATTGATCTTTTATAAAAAATGTGTTAATTAATTTTTTTTTTTAATTTGGAACTTAAGATTTATGAAGTATCTCGTATAATTTAGAGTTATGAATTAAGTGGTCCGTGAAGTCTAAAAGGTTGGCGACCGTTGGCCTAAATTGTTCAGTGTTCTATGGGCTATGGCTATAACTATATTAATATACATACTTTGTGTATGTGCATTGTGCATATGTATTAATATTATATAATCAGTGTTCTAGTATGGCAATATGCCGGATAATAATAAATGTTAGATATGTTTTTAAAAATTGAAAAATACCTATCAGAATTTTAAGCACTCACCTAGACGGCTAGACCACATCGACAAGACACAAAATATTTCAGATCACGTTGTAAAGAAAATATTTTTACAATAGTCATGTACTAGGTGTCTAGATGCAAAAATAATTATGATGTTATGATGTTATATCTAGTGTTTAACATACAACATATACGATTCAGGAATTATAGAAGGTAGAAGGTAATTAAGAAAGATCCAATATTAGTATGATAATGTCTATACTCTATATTTATTACACAATTGGATTTCATATGACAAAATGTGATATGTGTCTTAGTAGTTAAATATTGAGAATTAATAAATGAAAATGCATCAAATTACAATAATTCACATAAATATTTACCATCAAACATGTTAAAATATTTTATTTTATGATAATGATAATAAAACACATTATTTTCTAAAAATTAAAAATATTGAAAAAAATAATCTGGACATTTTAGTATAAATTACCGAAAGTCCGAAAATATAACAAAATCAATATATAGAAGTTATTAAACTAATTAGTACTAACATTTCCATAGTTCTACGCATTTATTGTTCTAAAATTCTAAACTGGCTTACAGAAGTATTTGTTTGAAGGTGCCACCGTGGTAAATTCCCTTCTGATCTTAATTATTTCAACATACCATCAATCATATTTACGCATTATATTTAATACTTATTATACCTATTGAACCAATTGTAAACATATTACACATATAAAAAAAAAATTCTTCTACCGACTACCACTCACTTATTGGTTGCACTGGAATAATGAGAATAATAATTATATTTTAATATAAACTAAGTCATAGTAACTATCATTCTGTGGTACATTCGATTAATTAAAGTACGGTAAAGTATAGTTATTGTGTTGATAAAAATGTAGATAACTATTTTTAAATCCATTATTGCCGGGGTTGCAAAGTATTTAATTTCCTTGAATTTTTACCATGGTTTTAACCATGATCTGGTGGTAACCGATTTCTACTATCTGGTCAACGATTTCAATACAATAAATTTCGGTATTACACACAGATTGTATAGTGTATTGGGTTGAAACTTGAAACTAAACACAACACAGCACACTACATTATATTTATTTTGTGATACAGTGATTCTCTTAAATTTAAAATATTAATTTTTTAGTTTTTAACAAGTTTTCAGCAATAAATACTTTTAAACTATCCGTAAGTATTGATATGAATACCTTTGTTTTTACATAATTTACCACTAAAACATACGTTTCGCAAGACATTTTTTTTTCGAAGTATTGAGTTTAAAATGTATTACTATAATTTGTATTTAACGATTCATCGTATTAGAATGTAATTTTCAACATCGAATTTGTTTGATTTATTTAGTAAAATAATATTCATTAAGTTAAGACTGACACTTTAAAGGAACTTAATATACAAATAATTATTAATTTTATCTGATTTTTTTTATTTTTATGTTCTAACAGAAATATGTCGGGGCGTGAAGGAGGAAAAAAAAAACCTTTAAAAAACCCTAAGAAAGAATCTAAAGAAATAGATGAAGATGATTTAAAAATGAAACAAAAATTAAAAGAACAACAAAAAGCATTGAATGATCTTAAAACAAAAGCTGCTCAAAAAGGACCAATGGTCAGTGGCGGTATAAAGAAATCTGGCAAAAAATAATGTACTAACTATGTAATTAAGAAAAAAATATTTAAACATCCTTTGTTAAGAATCAAACCTGCTGTATGATGTTTTCAAATTAAAATGCAATTGTATGTTATTTACCATAATAATAATTACAATATTATTTTATACTTTAAGAGTTGTTCACTATTCTTATAGTTTCATAAGTTCAAAAATGTATATTAATTATTCAAATGTAACACATCTACTTCATTTAAAATAAAGGGGTGTTTATATTCAATAGGGTGTTGGCCAATTCTTTCTATGTTAACCAGTCAAAAGGACTCTTAACCAATTTATTAGGCTATTTTAAAAACATTTATTAAGTTCAAAAAAATAAATTATATTTTTTTAAATCTTAATAAAATATAGCAACAAAATGCTAAAACGTACATTTATACAGTCTAAAGTAATACAACAGTTACTCTTCTCGGGTAAGCTATTTAGAGTACTGAAGCTAGTATTTTAAGATAGAGATCTAACTAATAATATTCTGAGACGTAGATGTGACTTAAATTTTAGTAGGTAATATAATAAATCTTGATGTTTTGCTAAGTATTATTAATTTTATATATTCATTTATTTTTTTAAATATTTAAAGCTTTTAGTATTTTCTTAGTGAAAAAAATTTTACCAAGAACTTTTTTAAATTTACAAACCCAACTTGAGTCTTAACATTAAACTATAGAGTTAGAGTTAGTGATGGGAACAATCGAGAGAAAATAATCGAGTACTCGATTATTAGAAAATAATCGATTACTCGATTATTAGAAAAATTATCGAATTGCTCGGTCAAAAATAATCGAATGAAAAATTAGTAGTTAGTAGTTACTTATTAGTAATTACTATTTTTATAATAACTAGTTTATAGTTACTTTATAGTAGTTGGTATAGCTATTCGAATTTCGAACACTGAACCAGTAGGCAGTAATCATTCTTATCTACTAATCTACTATTCACTAATATTATAATATAATAATAACTAATACATATTTAAAAATACCCAGGCGGCCGCGGCCCGCGGCGTAGTATAACTATACTTTATTATTAATCTGTACTATCTGGAATTGTTAAGGAAATGGTTTCTATTATTATTTATATCTATTATAAATAATAATTTTGATCACATATATATATTATTTTGGTATAATATACTATATTTCAATTTAATTTATATGTTGTATCAGTTGTATCGTACATTTGTTATCGGACTAGCGACTATCACTATATAATAGTGACCATTCTCTCGATTAAAATAATCGAGTGAATTACTCGATTATTATAATATCTCGATTACTAATCTCTCGATTATCGAAATCATTCGATTATTCCCATCACTAGTTAGAGTAATATAAATTATTCTATGGAGTATGGACCTAACCAACAAAAATAAATTGTAAATTTGTAATCACGATAATCACAATAATTTATGTTTACTTTGTAATATTATTCTGTGATTACGATAGTATCATGGAATAAATCACGGTTTAAGTTGAGGTAGAGACTATTATTACCACAGCAGGTTGATGTATATCATTATATTTATCTCTGGATTATACTTGGGAATTGTTGATAAAAAACACGTGCATATCTGATAATATAAAAAAATGATAACAATTTTATTGTATTATTATTTATTAACTATTAAATATTAATCTAAAAACAAAAATTTCAACCATAAGAAAAATTCACTCAAAAATTTTGTTTAAATCAATTTAAAATTTATTGGTAAGTTATTTAACCAATATAATCATTAATCGCACAATTGTATTCATTATTATTTATTATTAAGTTTATTAAGAATGTTAACATTATTTCTTGTTATTTTAATGATTTTAGATTTTGTATACATTATGGATAAAAGATTTTCAAAAATTGGCGATGATCCAAAGTTTAGGCGTTTGCCTAAAGCTGATCGCAAAGTTAAAATTGATAAACGGTTTCAATCAATATTTAATGACAAACGATTTAAAGTTAAATACACCATTGATAAAAGAGGAAAACCTTTAAGGGGTTCTACTACTGATGACTTTAAAAAGTTTTATCATTTGTCCGATGATGAAAAGGATGACTTAGATTCTGAGCAAAGTTCTAGCGATGATGTTACTCAAGGATCCGAATCAGAACAGCAATTATTAATTGAAGAGGTTGATAATGTAGACAGTAAGATAGCCAGTAAAAGTATCAAAGATCGCTTAAAAGATAAAACAGTAGATTATGCTAGGGGAGATGGTGAATTGTTGTCTGACAGCTCATCAGATGATACATCTACTGATGAAGAAAATGAAGGTAAATATATTATCCATAAAAGTGTTAGATAATGTTTTATAAATTTATATTTAATAAATATTCTTCATTAATATTACTTCTATGTAGAAAATGTGGAACATGGTTGGGGAGAATTAGACAAAGATGCAGATAGTATAGAAGAGGCCACATCTAGATTAGCTTTGTGTAATATGGATTGGGATAGAATTCAAGCTGCTGATTTGATGATTCTCTTTAATTCATTTTTACCTAGTGATGGTTACATAAAATCTGTAACTGTAAGTTTATGAACAAATATCTTTACCAAAACTATAAAACTATGTTATGTTTATCTAGATTTATCCATCTGAGTTTGGTATGAAACGAATGCAAGAAGAGGAAGTTAAAGGGCCTCCTGAATTAATTTCTAGTGACCCCAAGGAAATTGGTTCATCTGATGATAGTGATCAAGTAATATTGATATTTTGTAAATCATAAGTAATTAAAATTACACTTATTTTTATAACTTTTTTTTAGGAAGAAGAAGATGGAAGAAAATTTCACATGGAAAAACTACGTAAATATCAACTAGCAAGACTTAAATATTATTATGCTATTATTGTATGTGACTCTCCTGAAACTGCTGGTAAAATATATACCGATTGTGATGGTATAGAATATGAAAGTAGTGCCACACGTTTAGATTTAAGATTTGTCCCAGACGACACAGAATTTGATCAAGTAACTATCTGATTGTTAAGTCTAATAAAGAGCCAATAAGTATTTTCCTTTTGTTATGTATCTAAAACTGATAGCATTTTGTATTGTGTATGAAAAATTCCATGCTTAGTTTTTAAAAATGTTTAGTATTATTTAATTGTTCGATACATACAATATTCAGTATATACAGTGTATAAATATGATGTTATATTATAAATAACTATGAATGATAAAAGTAAAATAAATAAATCTTATTAAATGGAGAAAGAAGTTTAAACTAGTGTAGAAAGTAATTTAATTAAAATTAAAAAAAATTAAATTTTTATCATTAATGATAGAATTTATTCAGGAGAATGTTATAGAACAATTAAATTATTACTATGTATAAAATATAGGTGCATTATAATCTATTTAAATACTTATGCATATTTATTTTAAATTGAAAAATTCTTATAAAATGAGTTATATCTCATCTTTAACAATTAATGATTAAATTAAGTATAATTTTTGAATTTTTCATTAAACTTAAATTAATGTGATTTTGACTTAATTAATGGTGATCAATTGAATTTTAATTGAAAGTTTGTTCAAATTTTTTTATTAATCTAATAGTTATCAAATAAATAAATGACCTTTGTATAATAATATATTATTATATAATCTTAATTTTATTAACAGTTATTAAAGTACCAATATAATATATGTATATATGTATTAGTCTGGAAGTATTAATGGTGCATTTAATATGATTTTTTGGTCCTTTCAATATGATTAAATCAATAAATTGTCCATGCTATCTGGCTTTTATTTAGATATTATAATGAATATGCATAATACAATTTTTATGCAATTATGTAATTATGTTATATCATTTTATAGGAACCAAAAGAAGTTTGTGATAAATTACCAGATTTAACCAAGTACAAACCTCATTTATTCACTACTACTGCTTTACAACAAGCAAAAGTGAATCTTACATGGGATGAGACAGATCCAAGACGTAGTGAATTAGTAAATAAGCTGAAAACAAATCCAAAAAGTGAAATTAATGATAGTGATTTGCAGAAATATGTAGCTTTTAGTTCAGAAAATGAGAATAGTGATGATGAAAGTAATAAATCTGTTGAAGAAAATTATGAGGAGAGTAGTTCTAAAAAAACTCCAATAGATAAATATAAAGAATTATTACAAAATATACAAGATGAAGAAGAAAAAAAGGCAAATAAAGATTCAGAATTAGAAATTTCATGGGGTATTGGTTTACAAGAAAAGGTACAAAAATCAGTCGATGAAAAATCAAAGAAAAATTTGACACCATTCCAGAAAATGATGGAAAAAAAGAAAGAGAGAATGAGAGAAAAGCAAAAACTGAAAAAAGAAATGAATAAAACTAAAGATAATGAAACTGATTCAGAGAATGAAAATAAGCAAATCAAGCAACAAGCAGAATTGGAATTGTTATTGATGGATGAAGAACCTAGTGAAAAAAAACATTTTAATATGAAAAAAATACAAGAAGAAGAAACTAAAAGCCTAAAAAAGAAGAATAAAAAGAAAATTTTAAATGAGAAGTCTGTTAGTGATGATTTCTCTGTAAGTTATCAAATCATTAAACAAACATTGGTTTCTTGTTTTTCATTAATCTTGAAAAATTTTAGGTCGATGTAAAAGATGATCGATTTTCGGCATTATATACATCACATCTATTTAATATTGACCCTGCTGATCCAAAATTCAAAAGAACGAAAGGCATGGAAGAATTTATTTTTGAAAAGGCATCAAGAAGGCAACAGTATGATACTGAAAAAGTTAGTAAGGTTTTAATATTATTTTAAATTTCGTCCTATATTTAGTTTTTAATAAGATGATATTAAACTTTTACATTTTAGTAATTGAGCTTACTAATTAAAATATTTAAAATTGGCTTTAATACAAGCACAGATTAACTTCTCTTTTACAATATCGATAATAGGTGTTTTTACTTTGAAACCACCCAATAAGCCATATTATTGGAAATATGAAAATTAATTGTCATAGGATATTTTTATACTATTGATACCCTTTAATATAAAAGCTTGATTTGAGATTGAGTATTCTTTCTTCTTTGATTTCATTGGAGCAAGATGGTATTATAAACTATTATTGAAACATATAATTTTTCAAAAAATGCAAAGAACAATATAAGTTTATAAATTAAATCCAAAACAATAAAAACAGAATTAATGTTGAATAAAATATAATCAATATATATACTTTAAACATAAAAAATTAAATTGCACTTATATATAAAAAAGAAAAAGTATACAGACACTAACAGTAAAATATTTATTAATCATAAAATATTAAAACTAAATGGAATAAAAAATAATATGTATATTATCCAGTATATTTATATAATTAATTATTTTTTTTATTTATAGGTTGATGTTCCTCCAAAAAAGAAATCCAAACAATCAATTATTAATCCAGAACTATCTAATCTTGTAAAATCTATCAAAAGTAAAACTAAACGTAATAAATAAATGTATGTTTTGTAAAAATGGTTTTTCTTAAAAAAATAATTTACTGTCAGCTAATGAATAATTATACTTGTTTTGTTAACTCCCTATTATTATACTTCCATTGCATCAATATCTGGAATAAGTAAATATATCTGTATCCAATAAAAAATATCATTAATACAGGGTACAGCAGTTAAACCCAACAATTAAAAAAAAATAGAAAAATTATTTTAATTTTTTGCCAAATGAATAAAAAAATACATTAGTGGACATTTGTGTTATATAAAAAAAACTTCATTTTTAAAAATTGTGTCTTACAAATGTCCTCCTTGGTTAGTTACACATTGTCACCTGACAGGCGATATTCAGTGACCTGCTTGTGTTCTGGACTTTCAAATCATCAAGTTTGACTGTCGAATCCTATATAGTTGTAACTTGTAAACAAGAGTTCAGTATTTATTGATTTTGGTTGTTTGATTTTGATTTTATTATAATATTTTTGATTTTTATTCTATTGTTGTGTCTCAGATTCCTTAAGATAATAAGTTGTAGAATAGCCTATGGCATACTGGCATATTTAGAGAGGCACAATCGCACAGATATATCTGCATCCATGGCCTTTTTTTCATGTGCTGTGCCTTATAATAACTGTACTTCATTGTTATATTGACTTTCAGAATTTATTTATAATTATTAATTATTATATTGATTTCATAAGTATTTTGATATCTGCTCTCTATGACTTAATAAATACGCAAATTAAGTAAGCAATAAAATTGTATTGTACTAATATATTTACAACACATAGGACTTAAATTTAACTCTTGTACCATTTTTAGGTTCGTGAACTATTAATGAATTCATAATTATTTAAACTTGCACTCATAATTATCATGAAATTTAATAATGATTAATAATACATGTAAAATGATGTTTAATTTAATGAACATATTAAATAGTAATCAGATTTTGATAACTCAATCATTTAAACCCATTTTATCAACCATTTTATGCATATATATAAAAATAATATATAATATAATAATCTGGTGTTATCTTTTATTATTTTATCCTATCTTAATACTTTAATAGATACCTTATACAGTTAAGCAATATACATATACATTATATATATTATTTTTATCTGTTTTCTGGATAATGTATTTAATGATTTCTGTCAACGTAAATTCTATACTTTCTAAATCCAGAAGTCCTTTTTATTGTTACATAAATTATTTCCACTTAAAGGCTTTTTGTAGGAACTTATCACTATTTTACTTATAACACAATAGGCATTAATTGATTTGTCTTTAATTAAAAATGAATTTTATGCCTAAATGTTGAACTTAGTTGAAAAACTCAATATCTAAAACAGAATCCCACAATGGTAACCCATTGATGGCCGATGGCCGATGGGTACTATAAAAATAAATACACTACCTAATATATACATTTAAAAGTTTGCTAAACTCATAACACTGAAAAATTAACAATTGTATTTTTCATGTTTTGTCTTCTACTCATTCACTCTGATAAACTTTATTAAATTGTTCTATCAATAACTATTATTATTAGCTATAATCTATAAATATTTAAAAATTTCGGTGATAGATATTAGATACCTAAAATTTCAATTAATTTTGGAATGAGTTTGCACGTGATACAATTTTGCGTAAATATTTGCGAGTAATAAGTAATAACCAATATTATTATTTATTTTTGTCTGTCATAGATAATTTTAACACAGAATGGATAAAACTAAATCTATTCTATAATTCTAATCTCTTCCTTATCAATTTTTCAAATTTTCCACTGTTCATTAAAATTTTAAAAATTATATTTTATATTTTGATTATTTTATTATAATGTTTTTCATCTAATTTATTACCTACCCGGTATTAAGGAAGATGGATATTGTGTGACTTATAAACAAAAATAATTTTTTGAAAAACTTCAATTCCTCGTAAAATTGTTGAATTTTGATAATTGTTTTTGTTTTTTGAAAAAAGAATTTTCTTTAACTTGTATTAGATTTTGATTTTTAATGTTATTTCAATTTATGATTTAAAATCATTTCTAAAAAAGGTTAAAATTAACTTTTTTAGATGTATTTTAAAATTTAAGATTAAAATATAAAAAACAAAGTTCATCGTTGATGGTAGAAATTTTTCATTAAATTAAATTGTTTTTATAGTATGTGATTGCCGTAGCCTGTAGAGTGTATTTTTGTGTATAAAATTACATAAGCACCAGTTGCCTTAATCGTAGAATATTTTAGTTTAAATAAATTAATAATTGCATTTTTCAAAAAAAATATTTAAAACTAAATTAATAGGATTACATTTATAATTAAATGCAAATTTATTTTATAAAGTAAAAAGTATTTACATATACCTAATAACATGGTGATATATTCAATTATTTATGATAATAATATAATAAGAGCTAGTCGTTAGTGTCTAATATACTTATATAATATTATGTAGATGTATTATTATAATAATACATGTATACCTAAGGTACTTTTATTATAACTTTACAGCTATACACATTATATAATTCTTTTAAAATAAAACTGCAGTGTTTCTACCACCTGCTAATAAAAGGTCATACTTAATTCTACTAGATACTAAATGTCAATTATTTGTTATTTGAAAAATCAAGGTCTACCTGTGAGTATTTTATGTTACTTTTTAAGTTTAAAAATTAAATATAATTAATATTGTAGTTGCAAAGTAAATGTGCAATTTAAATCTAATAAAGTACCTATTCATATTATATTGTTTTCTATTAAAACAGTAATGTTCCAGATTGTGCCTATATAGTAGGTATCTGCTTACTGCAATAAGATAAATAATATGTGGATAGGTAGGTATGTACTTGTTTAACTTGTTCGAATTTCTTACCTAACATGCGCTATTTTGTTATTTTTATTTAATTTAAATATATCTAATCATTTTTAATTCATGGTTGTTGAGCATTGCACAACCATTTTTTTATTAAATAAATACATTCTAAAAATAAATTTTATTTAGTAATAAATATTAATACCAGTATATTGACGTTATAAAGAGACCAGTTCAGTATTTCACAATTTCCACAAAAACAAAGGTTTTCATTTGTAATATTATTTATTGACCCTAATTTTTGTCACATTAGTTAATCTTAATTGATGACTATAACGACAAAAACAAGGAGAGATATAATGAAAATAAAATAGCTTTAATATGTTTACATTGTTATTGTATTAAAACATAAATCAATATTTTAAAATATACATACAACTATAATAATTAAGAATAGTAGGGATAGGTAAATACGTAGTTAATAATCTTATGACATTATTAGGTATTATTAAACATATTATGGCAGGACTTAATGTACATACCCATATTCTACCTACTTAGAAATATTATTTTTTAATATAACTTTAATACCAGGGCTTACAAATCCTGACAGTTATGTTGGCCAAAGCCAAATTTAAACATGATATAAACGTATCCGGTTGACCGGTTCTGTACCTAGTACCTACTGGCTAATATAGTATACATTTGAATAATTGCAGTTATAGTAGTTATAAATATTGACGAATCACAGGTATTGAGTAGGTAGGTAGGTAGTTATTATTATTGTAGTATATGTACCTAATCTAATAGGAACGAAATACGAAATACAAAAAAACAACTCTGTTTATACGTCCCGGGGAGATGATTAATGGTATAATATGTAACCTACTCGTGACGCCAAATTCTTAAATGCGTCGTTTTAAAACGTAGTACCTACGGTTGAAGGTACTCACCATCATTAACTACAGTCTCAATTTTTTTAAGTTTTTACGCAGCAATAATATCAACATTAATATTACCCTTGTTGTACACACTATGCAGTGTATTTATACCTAGCATACATAAATATATAATCTATATTATTATACATATGATGTGATATGTATAATATGTATATAGCCATTTTCTACTCTATTTAGGTGTATCGATTTATATGTATAATATTATGTTTGTCATTTATTGTACATATTTATTTTAATGGAAAAATAAGTGAGATATATATATATATATCTATTACGATAACAGTTTATAGTATTAATAGTAGGTATTAATGTATTATACTTAATAATAATTTTTTTTAAATTTATAAGTACTATTATAATATATACCTAATATTAGTATAAATAATTTCTATATTTTTTTAAAGGTAAGTTAGGTACCACCTAGAGTAACCTAACCTAACCTATATATCATATGCATTACCTATGTAATTTAAATTATAACTATGACAATCATTACTTAGCATAATACTTACTCAAAAAATAGTTATAGATCCATTATCTTATATTTACATACAATATGACGTTTAAGTATATTTTAACTTTTAGGTATTTGATTTTTTATATTTATTGTTTGATAGAATAATTTTACATTTAAAATAGAGCAATAAACTAATTAAAGTTAAAAAATTATGTTTTTATTTTTATTTTTTCAAAACGCTTTTTTCTTTTTCGATGTATAGTAAATCAGTTATAGGCTCAAAATGTTGTATGCACCAGTAGTAGCACTCTTTCTATATTCAAAAATTTAAAATTTTATGAAACTGATGCCTGCTTAGTGCGTAGATTATTATCTTAAGCGGAACGATGAATGTACCTACCTACTGAATTAACAATAGATATTTTTAACTTCAAGCAATCCTGTTTACAATGCATATCATTATAAAACAGGTGTTTTTTTTCATAGTTATCGAACCTGTGAATACGTTTTAAACTATGCATTGTTATGTAACACATCGCATAACTCTAAATTTTAGAGTCTAAAACTTATATCTGATTCTCGCGCTTGTACACTCCAAGCTAATGCAAACTATATTCAAAAATCAATTAGGTTGATATTGTTAACTTGTAGAGTAATTCTAGGCATACAAATATCGTCTTATGTCCGTTCTTTTTAAGACTTCCATAACTCATCATAATATGGTTTGTATACCTAAAAATTTGATTTCGTTTTTTTTTTAGAAAAGACAATTATAAAAAGACTCAGATGTAATTCATACCTAAAATATACTGTAGCCTGAGTTAGTATTTAAAGGTTGAATGTAAAACAATTATAAAGAAAAATATAATACAATTATTGAGTTATGGACTTATGACAAACGCTCGAAAAACCTTTATATTACATTAGAGCAAACATAAAATATTTTACTGAGGTCTATATGATAGCCACTCACCTCTCCACGTATTATCGTTACCAACAATACCAACACACATACCTATATTGGCTATATTCTAGATGAACTTTAATATAACAGCATTGAAACTCCTGCACAGCAGTAGTAGCATTAAAATTTAACCTGAACACCATAGAAATAACATAATATTTATATTGTTTCTGCACAATTTGCTTTTCAGGCCCTACTTCTATTAGTGAAAAGCTAAAATATATTATAATAATGTAGGTAATTGTAATAAAGTTTGCATAAAAATAAAAGATATAAATTAATACATTGTTTTATAGTTTTTATGCTTCATACTAAATTATTGCGTGTTTTAGGTACTTCAAATTGTTAGTGTTTTAAATTCTAAGCGAAACAACGAATGTATTGATTTTACAATGATGTATGTTTTTAGTGTATGTAAACACTTTTGAGGCAGTAAAAATGCTTTTATATTAAAAAAAAAAAATGGTGAAGGGAATTATTCTATTAAAAATTGGATATAATTGATACTTCTGGAGGTCAAATTTAAATTCTTAAAAGTTAATTTAATAATTAGGAAAAACAATTAAGGTAAAATAGGAATTTTTATGCAAATTCAATTTTCGACAAAATTGATCTTGTTTTTTGGTGTGTATTGAAAACGAATTACTAGATACATATGTTCTTTATTAGTTTTCAAAATTTTATACTTGAAACAAAATTCTACCAAAATATCGAATCAATGTTTACAATATTGGATATTCACCCGTAAAATAATTTTTTCTCCTCAAACAACCAATATTTTATTGTATTTTATATAAAAAAAATATATATATTAATTACTTTTAATTTTTCTATGTTAATGTTTATATTATCATTTATCACTGTCATTACACTATAAAGTTTTCAAAATTTGTCGACTATTTATTAATATCAAAATTTTTTCGATTTTTTTTTTTTATAGTTCTTTTATAAAAACCTTAAGACTGCCAAGAGTAGTTGAGTTTTATTTCGTAAAAAATATTTATTTTTATTTGTCAATATTAAATAATATCAAATTATTTATTTGATTATAATGGGCTGGGCTACCCGATTCTGTAGTGATCAATTTTGTCAAGTTTTCTTGAGTTCGGAGTAAGCAAAATGTAGAAGAAAAAACATTTTTTTAAATATTTTATATATTTTATAGATACCTAGATATAATCGTTTGAAAGTTTGACCCAAAACAATATTTATAATCGATCCACGATGGTAGAAAAGAGAAATGGAATATAATATCTACGTATACCTAGTATTATACATTCAAAATAATATTGAGAAAGTTTAAATATTTAAAAAAATAAATAGTTGTGTTTTTTAATATCAAATTGTATTAGTAATGTTCACGTTAAATTTCATCTGACGTAAAATTGTGTTTTGAATAATTTTATGAATATATAATTGTTGTATAACAAAGGTTTTGTAAAAAACCATTTTTTTCTCGATAGTCACGCGTGCACATTCTGTGTTAGTCGGAATCGGGGAGGTGGTAGAAAAAAAATGACATTTTTCTTTGACAGCAAGGTTGCGACCCGCAGACCGTAACGTGGGCCGCCAGTCCGCCACGCCGATCGTGTAAGCTGTTAGCTGTTAGCATTCAGCCGGCGGCGTGTGGCGTGTCTCGGTACTCTCGTCTTACCGTGTTTTTGTTATGACGTCGAGCATGGTAGTTGTTCACACGCGGTTGCACACACCACGCGGACCATAGAGTCCGTCCCGCCATAGACATAATAATATGTACATGAAGGCTGCGGGGTGACTGCGGTACAGGCGCGAACGCGGCAACACCGCCCGCCGGTAACCGTCTCTTGCGACGTAATCGCTTCGATCGCCGCTCGCCCGCCCGCACACATCTATGCGCTCGTCACTACGGCGCGCACGATGCCACGATACATAATAATAATAATAGTGAATAGTGATGATATGTACAGTGGTGGCGGCGGGTGCATTCGGGCTGCGCGCACGCGTGTGCACCGGATTCTAGATACAAACCCGCGTGCGCGCGCACACAGTACAGCAATAAAGGTAGAATAGTTCACGTTCACCCTTCACCACCATCACCACAACCATCCCCACCCCGTTTAACATCACTACCACCACAACACCACCGCCAACACAATCACCGTGCATTTTGATTGGTTTGTTTTTCGCGTCGTTGGCCGCCCGTGCGCGTTCTCGCCGCATCAATTTTTTTTTGGACTTTGACACCCATTCCCGTCGTCGCCGCCGTCGTCGTCGTCACGATTATGGTTGTCCGGACGAACAGCGAACGAAACGATATGCAATCGTCTAACGGCGGTACAATGTTTCGATTACAATGTCTCTAACTGACATTTGTCTAATGTATCTCTTATTGTTTAATTCTTAATATCCGTTTTTTCCCCGTTTTTTTTCTATTTTATTTTTTTTTTTGTTTTATTATAATTTTTTTACTTTTTTTTTTATATACATTACGTATTAAATTTCTTTATTTTAATTTAATTTTAAATTAAACTACTTTTATTCAAATTTTTATACTCGTACTTAGTATTTTAAATCCGCTTTAGCTCGTATATTTAATATAACTCAAAAAATCTACCATATTTTGTCGTCTTATGTTTATATATTATTATAATATTATATACGTCTTTTATACACGCGGGTAGATTTTTATTCGTCGTGAAGTAAAAGAAAAAGCCACAATTGCTCGTTCATATTCCAAAAACACAATCTTTAAATTTAAAAGAAAAATGTCAACTGTCGTTGATACATCTCATAGTTTTACCTAATTTATTTTTCCAAACAATCTACATCTACCTATTATACTAAAGATTTGTCTTTAGAAGTTTTTCCTACTTACGAGGACGTCAATTAATCAGAAAAAATGAAAGATAAACCGAATTCAACTCGTATTTATGACGAGGATGGATTTCGCAGGCGAGCTGCTTGTATATGTGTACGCAATGATTCCGATGAGGTAATTATAATTTTGTATATATTTCATATTACAATTTGGATACATGATTTATTAATAATATACTGTGCGTAATACATCGCTTCCACTATCATTCTGATGTTACATCACGGTTTTTTATAATTATAATATGTTTTATTTTTTATACTAGGTATTTTATTTTTTGTAATTTAAGGCAGCTAAGATTAATTTTATTCATAGAATTCAATATTTTTTATTGTGGATGTAAACTACATAACTATCAATTGAATAAATGTCTTACATTGTTAAATCATCACTATTAATGTTGCTAAATAGAATTAAATTAAAAAAAATTACATATGGAATACCACCTACTTATCTATACAATATACATGGAATTATATTCATTTTATCTTTAAAACCTCATTTAAAATTTTTCAAATTAAAATCTTTTGATAGATTAGTAATTTGTAAATCAGGATTAATCCATAACATTGGGCTGGGTAGTAGTATTAGTCAATGTTTTTAATTATTTAGTTATTATTTTTAACTCTAATATATTACACAAGATTTACCAATAGAATTTGTTATTTTAATCGTAAATATTTCTATTGATTGAGTTTTATTTTATTTTTACCCAACATTTGATTAGCTTTATTGGTCATTTAGATTTTAGATTAGATAGGTATTACAAATTTGATTATCTTATAGGTTATTTTTAGTTCTTAGAAGTATTAACTAAAAATAGTATTTGTAAGGTATTTGAATATGTTGGTCAGATAAACTAATTGTCTTTAAATAAAGGTACCTACTCATATTATCTGTATAGTTTACTTATTATAGTAATATTGTAATGTAAGTAATGTAACTAATGTAACTAAATATTGGTATGAAATTTAATTTCTTAAATGATTCTTTTAAATACCAAGATAGATAATTGTAATAGACTTGACATATTTTAAAGTAGTTTTATGTAATTTTTTATCTGAAGTTTATTTTTAGTAGTATAGTCCACATGTATATCTATGCATTAATAAAAAATGATAAAATATTTATTTAAAATTATATTTATAGAGTTTTGTATGGTTTGTTTGAAGTTTAAAGTTCTCAATTATTTTGTCCTTAAAACTTGAAGCTTTTGTAAAATTATTAATGTTATTTAAATTACTTCATTTACTATATGTTAATTGTTAACATATATAGTTAATTATTTCATATTATTATATAATATTTACTTCTACCTACCTTATTCTTTGATTTTAACAAACTTATAATTTTGTGTAATATAACTTTAAATATATAATGTAGGTACCCAAGAAAATATGTATTCTAAACATGGTCAACAGTAAATATTTAAATATCATAATTTAATAAATACACATACAATTATAAAAATATTAGTGAGCTAAAATTTGTTAAATTTGATTACAAAAAAATTTAATGTTTTAGAATTAGTTTCCTTCTTATTACCTATATTAATCTAATATTATTATTAAGTAATAATAGTAATATGATATGTAATGGAACCTTTATTATATTGTGTAATAAATAAATTATCTTTATATTTAAGATAATTCTAACTACTTGGGTTCTTACTATGTAGTTCTAACATAATTTACATTATCTAATATTAATTAGATTAATTGAATTAAACTATTATTGTAATTAAGCCTTAATTGTTTTTAAATTATTTAACAGTGTAAAATGATTTTGATTGGGTTAAAATGATATTAAATATATTTTTTTTTAATTTCACTTTTAATTCTAATTATGTAGTTATACCAAATTATTAAAAATTTCATAAATTGTTATTCTTTTACAAAATATACGAGAATATATTATATTAAGTCAATTTTTGATATGTAAATACATGAATAGACATGTATTATATGTCAGAAGTAGATTTATGTTGAGTTTTTATACATTCAAAAATATTTAAAAATGAAATTCAAACAATCTTTTAAATTTCATGTCAAAAAAATTGGAAAAAAATATACTTCTATTCAATACTTTTAACCTAGATCTGCCTCTGACCTAAAATATTTTACAGGAATTATATTATCTTAAATATAAATAAAGAATTTATTTTCTGAACCTTTGCTCTATTACAATACATTTTTCTGCTATAGTTTAACTAGAGTTTGAGAATTACAGTGCCTAAAATTATAAAAATAAACTTTAAAAAAAGCACAAATATTTATTTAAAAGCAATTAAAATCATTTTATCCCATTGACTATAAATTAACTAATTGTTCCCAACTTTGATTATAACTGATATGAGTTATTAATTGTACAATGTATGTCCTTGATATTTATAGTATAAATTTTGTAATCTATATTTTCATTTGGGTCAAAGTAAACTCAGAAACTAAGTTAGAATAAGTAGGCAACATATTTTACAGATTATGTTTTTGGTATTATTACTAAATTAGTTACTAAATTGTTAATTTTATATTCACATCTTATGATGTACCAAAATATAACACTAAAATGAATAATTATTTGAAATTTTATTGTGTCTAGTAATAATAATGCCTAGTGACAATCATCATATAAGTAATATTACAATTAGATGTTTATTATTGACCTTAAATAACCTTTTGTCAGTTTTAACTTAAGTATTCAACCTATTTATCTATTTTAAGTGTTTATTCTAAACACTTGTATTTATTTTAGTAATTTATTAGGATAATTTATCTTGATTTTTGTTTAGTCTCAAAGTAATAACTTAATTAATGTTATATACAAAATTGTTGGTAATGGTTTAGCATTGATTTTTAATAGATATGCATGAGTGGTTATACAATTAATAATTTAAGATGTTTAAACTTTAAAGTGTAATTTGACTAGGCCCCAGCTAAGCATTAAAATAAATTACATATTCAAAAATGAAATCTTTGAATATTGACAAAAATGATATTTAAAGTAGTAGGTATTCTGTCGAAACCTGAGTGATGATTTCTTTTCATGTTGGATCTGTTCCAAGGTTATAAATGTAAGAGTTAAAATTACCTATATATACTTAAGCATAATTTAGAAAACAATGGTTATTTTTAAATCCAAGTGCAACTTATACTTGTATTTAAATATATATATTTTGTGAATACAAGTTACAACTATTAAATATTTTGTTTATTTTGTTAATTAAAAAAAAAAAAATCAATTACAATATTGATACTTCTATAATAGGTTCATATATTTTTTTATGTTAAATTATAACTGAGATTTAGTATCCCCAAAGTATTATATAAATAATTATTCTGTAATAAATAATGTATGCTAATATTCTTGTAAATTATTAATTACTAAATGTTAATGAAATATTTTCTTTCTCTATCTTTATGTATTGGTATATTATAACGAAACCAGGTGATAGTGTTACTTATGTTACATTAACTACAAGTACTCAAATTAAATCATTTTTATTTCTGATAAGTTACCAAAAATATGACTAAAGAGTTAATATGTATATTTAAAAATAACTGATAAAAAATATTTATTTTTATAAGCAAAGTTGGGAAAAAAAACAAATTTGTTATACTGATAATAAAAGCTTGGTATTACATATATAGACTATAATTTAAAATTTATTTATTTTTTAAATTACAGTTAAAGTAAAGGTTGATTAGCAAATCTAACAAATTTAACAGTGGGTAAAGCCCATTGATTATTTATAAAAATACAGTGAAACAATATTAACTATCATGAACTATAACTGTCAAGTATGATTATTATCACTAACTAGTATTTTTTGTAGTTAAACCATGTTTTATATTAACATCTTTATAGAAATTTATCAATAACTATTCATATAATATTTATAAATTTTAATTATTGGATAATCATAAAATAAATTGTTCAACACTACATATTACCCTTAATAGCTTATACAATGTTTTCATTATACATCAACATTGAGGTAAATCAAATAATTTATCTACGGCTTGTTGTGATTTACAAATTTTGCCTTTCCACTAAACTACAAGTGACTTTGGTGTAACTTGGTTTAATTGGTTGGTTAGTTTTATTAACTATAACTTGTGAGTAAATTAAAATCTTGTAATGGTACTTGTTTTCCTACAATTTTATTAATTTCCTTAAAATATATTAAATTCATATTATGGTTTTCAAATATCATGCATATACATATAGTACTAAAAATAAAGTAAAACATAATAATCAATAGTTAACAATAAATATTTAATATTGGTATTAATAATTTAGTTATTTGTGAGACTATCCTATTGATATGTGTACATTTTGTTACTATGACAGGTGGGTAGTTATTTTATTTTTTTTTATAGGTCATGGACTTTGTGCCAAAAAAGAACTAAAAACTGAATAACCTGTGTAAATTTATGTTATATATTAGTTAGGTATAAAATTCACATTACAACTACATCTAGTATGTTATATGATAAAAATATCTAGTTCAAGGTAAACTTAAGTAATGCTACATTAAAATGTGCTATTTTTTCATATCCCCACAAATTTATTTAATGAATAATGATAACAGACTATTGTGCACATTATATAGGTATATGATACTTTTTGAAGGTGTTGTTGGTGACTTCATCTAGTAGACCTGAACAATGGATCGTACCTGGTGGTGGTATTGAACCTGAAGAAGAACCAAGTGCCACTGCTTTAAGGGAAGTAGTTGAAGAAGCTGGTGTTGTGGGCAGATTACATAGAAGACTTGGTACATTTGAAGATAGGGTTAGTATTATTTATTTTTTAAATAGTAAACTGCTTGTTGGACTGTATTTAATTTTTAATTATTTATTTTTAGACTCATATCAGACGACATAGAACAGATGTGTTTGTTATGATTGTAACTGAAGAATTAGCCGAGTGGGAAGACTCTTTGGGCATAGGTAAAATTTTCTGAAATATTTAATTATAAGTTGAGCTGCATTCAATTTTGACATTTTACTTATTCAATAGTTTATTAAGATACATACATCATATTATAAGATTTAGAAATATTACTCATCATCAGGGGCGGTATCGGAAAAAAATTTAGGCTAGAAAAATAAATTTCCTCCAGGCCATTCAACATTTTCATCTCTTAAATAAAATAAAAAAAAAATTTTCTATATATACTCTTCAGGCCAACGGACTATTTAGTTTTCAGGCCGCTGGGATTTTTCCCAGTATCCTGGTGGACCACTCCGCCCTTGTTCATCATATACATTCTACTGATGACTACCTTTAAATTATAAATTGTACAAACTTTTTATTTTAGTATTTTGAGCCCAATAGAAATTATAATTGTGTCTAGTTGTTAATTTATAAGCTTTTCTTCTTTTCTCAACTTTTAAAATATTGTAACCAAATAGTCTAGAGTTCTTAAGTCTTGATGTAAATTTAGAAAATACACCTAGTCATACTTGAAATAAAACGTGAGCTGACATTATACCAAGATAATATGCTCTTAAAATAAGGTAGTGATAAATGTAATAGTAATAAATCATCAACAAATCATAGTTAACAAGGTAAATTGCTCAATATTTTGTTTTTGTTTCAGTTAAAGATAATAACTTAATTATTATTAACGATAATTTCATTGCCAAATGGTTCCTAATTTAGGTTGCCTAATCCTAAAAAAAATTAATATAATAAACACTTCACATTTGTAAAACAAAGTTAAGTATTATATTAATTATTGTAAAAGTATACAACACAATTATACTTAATATACATTTTTTATGATATAAGGATCGGTCCATTAACAGAACCAAAAATTATACATAACTTATGCCTTATTAGATAAATTTTATATGAGTGCATATTTATCTGAAGTATTCCACTTATAAATAAAGTTTTGATTAACAAAAAATAATATCTATAATAATTTTGTTGAAGCATTTTTCTATCAATCCTTTTTTTATGTGTATAAATAATTTTATTAATTTCAATTATTTTATATTTTGTGTGATTATTAATATCAATATTATTTAAAAATTTGAAAATATAATTTTTCTTAGTTTTTTTATGTACACATCCACTTATATTTTTACCAGTATCTTGTCATGACTTATAAAACTTATATAACTATACACTATAGTTATAATTTAACTCGCAAGTGCATATTTATTTAGATTGTGTATTCATCAAATTGAAAAAAACATTTCAAACTATAATAAATTTTACCTTAAATACAATAAGTTTTTAAAAGTTATTAACAGGGCAAACTCTATATACACATAAACAGTTCAAACATCAAGTTGACAAAAATATGTTTTGTCTATCAATAATATTTACTACTATTAAATATTAATTATATTTGATGTAAGTCGATAATAAGAGAAAAAATATCTCAACACAAAAATAGTTTATTTCCGGTTTACCATGCACATTAAACTATGTTCCTATCATTTTTGTTATTAATATCTGTTAATTTGTTTGGTAATAAGACATTGTAAACACAATAACAAATGAGTAATAGGTTATAGATATCTATAGTAGAATTATAATTTTATAGGGAAGTGACCTTGGAGTTCAATAAATTATTAAGCTCAAGCTAAAGAAACGTATATATTGTTTTTGTGGATATAAAAAAATAAAACTATGTTCAAAATGTTCTGAAATTTAATACTTTGTTGTTTAACATAACAATATAGAAACTTTTTAAACAGCTAATGCTATATGGAAAAATATTTTAACGTAAATTGCTAATACAGACAATTAGAAATACTTATTGTGTTAGTAATAATAAAAAAGTAGTTAATATAAATACATTTAAAAGTTAAAATACTAAGAGATAATTGCAGATTATTATTTATTCAACTATATTTTTAGTGTCATTAATGTGATGACATTGAGTAGTATTTTGTTATATAATTTTCATTTTAATTGTTTTTATATTATCCCTGTATATTAGTTCACAACAAAATATTTTTTAGTATAAGTAATATGTATATAAAATTCAGTTTGTTTATAAATATTAATCTAACATTATTATTTTGTCTAGGTCGCAAACGGAAATGGTTTAAATTGGAAGATGCACTAAATATGCTACGTTTACACAAACCCACTCAACACACGTACCTGGAAAGTTTTGCTCTCAATAAACAAAAAGCAAACATCTGAAATAGTCATCCTTTAAATAAATTATTTGCTCTAAATGGAAAAAAAAAATACTCCCTAAAATGTTTAGATTAAAAGTAATATCAATTTGCTAATAGATTTTAGTCTATTTTTAATCAATGAATTCAATTTTATGTTTAATATCAAGTTAAGTTTATTTACTTTTAGATATAAGGGAAGATTTTTTTTTTAATAATGCAAAATTTGTAACGCTTAATAAACAAACTAAATAAAAATCACTGAACTGAATAATAATTTATAAAAATTAATAACTTTGTGTATATACAATATTATGTTATAATAATATATCTTGTACGCACGGCTTCAGTGTTTATGTTACTCATTGTATAAACATTTGACAGACTGCCAATGGCTTAGTGGATTAAACTGCTGAGTTATATTAAATAATTTATATATATAATAGTTTATACATTTTTCAATGTTATATCTTTTATTTTCATTTTTTTTTCTCATTTGTAACCATAATTGTAATGCCCTTAACATGTTTTTGGTTTAAGGGGAAAAAAATACATTGGAATAATAATAATAAAAAAAAAAATCATGTTTATTTATTTTAATTAACATATTCTTGATGCCAATTTATAATATAATTAAAATGTAATTAAATAAATACTCTAGTTCTATGAGTGGTGTTAATAGAATGTGCTAATTATAAATCGTCTTGTAACAAGTTTCCAGCGAGTTGAACTTTCTCACCTGGTCTGAAAGCCGGCATACCAAGGTATGGACAACTGGCACAACGGAATGCATCACCCAGATAACACTAAAAAACATAAAAATCTGTCAAATTTGAGTTTTAATGTAGACGTGCAATGCTGTTTAAATGATTAAATGAATATAACAATTTCGCTTACACTTCCACAAGATGATTTAGCATTGGAAGTGTCTGGCACGGGTGTGTCTTTGAGACGATTTGTTTCGAGTTCTTCTGCCAATCCACAAGTACAGTCTTTGCAAGCCTTAGCCTTTTTGGTAGTAGCACAAACTAGGAGTTTAGGTGACAAAATTTTAAAATAATAATTAGTTGTTTTTGTGTTATTTGAATACATACCTCTGAGTGAAGAAGTATCTGGTTTTTTTAAATCGTCAGCTTCTAATAAATCGTCTTCAGATATTGTTTCTGAATTATTATCATCCAACTTCCAAGCTGAAATGACATTTTCTTTTGTCTCTGGATTTAGAGCGATTTTATCGCTGGTGCCGACCTTGATACAAAATAAAATAAGCACACATAGTCAGGTAAAATATTTGATAAACCTTAATTGCTTATTATAATCTAAGTCATATGCATTTACTTTGTAAGTGGGCATATTTCCAATAACCATTCCTGGAATGGATTTGTTTACAGCAACATTAAGAAAACCACATAACTTCATACGTTTTACCAAGGTGTCTTCAGTGCCAATTATGGTTTTTGCCATCAGTATGCCGCCAGCCACTAACAATGAGGTGTATTTTGGTATTAAGCTCAGATCGGACAGACTGTTGTCATCTACACCGAAGCCTAATAGAATGGCATTGTACAATGACCCTTCAGATGCTACTAAAATCAACAAATTAATAAATAGTCAAACTAACAATTTGAGTTTGCTACTTACCAAGGTTCAAGTTATCAACTAAGGCAAATTTCACATTGACCCTGTCGGCATAACAACTAGTTAATTCTTCTAATTTTTCAACGGTCGACGATTTGCCGACAACGAATAATAAATTTTTCCGGTCGGATGTCCCTTGAGTTACTGTCAAATGATTGTCGTCTAACAATTTCAATAGATCAACTTTGATGTAATGATCGTCCATGACTGTCGAAACTGGAAAATGATTGCTCAATATTTTGTAATCAGAACAAAATGTGTTCCTCTTAAGATCTAAAAATTTGCAATTGTCGTATTGAAAAATGAAACACTTCAGTATACAATCACGAACGACAAATTAACAATAAAAAAAAATAATAATAACTATACTAAAGTATGTGTTAACTATTAAGTTAAGATCATTGAAAAAAAACATTTAAATTTTAATCTTATCATTTATATAGTTAATGTTCTTAACCAATCAGTAATGAGTGATAATGTTATCTAATCACAGGGATTGATATTAATCACGAATTAAAAATATTAAAATGTCCTCTGTGGCTCTGTTTTCACTTTTATATTTTTATAATTTTATTGTTAAGCAATGAACTATAAATTATAATGAATAATGGACAATAGCTATTAAATATGTATACCTTTACATCTAAATTATAAAATATTACCACTGAATAAATTAATTCTATTATTCTACGATCTAAATTCGGTACATATATCTGTCCTAGTCACTTCGAAAAATCGATCTTTTCATGAACAGGTAGCCATTTCATAAAATGGAAACTGATTTTTTACACTTCGTGAAATTTGAAAATATTTTACGAAATGGTCATTCGAAATTAACATCGTGTAATTATTTTCACAATTTGGTCGCATTTTGTGTATTGAAGTACAACATTTAACGGAAACGTCAAATTTGATTAGATTCATTATAAATTATTTCAAGTACTCGTATTTATTAAGTACTTAATCATAACTTCTACAACTTGTTTTACCCAACTAAATTTAACTTTAATTATTAACACTATTAGTCATTAGAGCAGGAAAATGAACTGTGATAACACTGATAACGACTGTTATCTTTTAAAACAAATACATCTTTTGGTTTGACAAACACTCTTATACAAACAACTTAGGAATCCTCGACCTCAAAATACAACTTGGATAGTTTCATGCAAGGTTAATTCTTTTTTTTTTGCCAACCTGTTCAGCAGTGGCATTATGTTGCATATTTCCAGAATTATTGAATCGTTCTTTGATAAGAAATTCGAATGACCATTTCATGAAAAAGTGACCATTTCGTGAAATATTTTCAAATTTCATGAAGTGTAAAAAATATGTTTCCATTTTATGAAATAGCCATCTTTTCATGAAAAGATTGATTACACGAAGTGGCTACGACATATCTATTATCTTAATTCTGATATTAATATAATGATTGTGATAAATGATAATATTAAACTTATTCGTAAAAACGTAAAGCTGTTGCACTTGTACGTAAAACTGTAAGACTAACGTGTAGGAAAAGTGGCATTTCTCAATAATACAGAGCTACATATTTTTTTTTTTTGTTTCATTTCAACTCCTTTTATTAAGGTCAAATTTATCTAAAATGTTACTGATTAAAAAGTTTTATAGTGCTTTGTGCTTCATGAGATAATTTTTTATGCATCAAAACCTCATATTTCTACTCTGATAATATCATCGCAGTATTAATTTGTACTCTCAAGCCCACGCTATACACAGAACACATTTCTTAATACCAAATATATAATTTTATAATTTTTGAATAAAGTCCCTTACTATAAAAATGATAGTGGATATTATTATTTTTAGGATTTAATATATCAGTTTTATATTTTATTATTATTTAGCTTAAAAATTAAAATCAAGTGCTGTAAATTTTAATAAATAGGTACCTTCTAAACTGTTTTGAGACAATATTTTAACAAATTTATAAGTGTGTCAAATCTTTAAAAATAATATTCTTTAATATTTTGTAGACGAGGAGTGAAATTTTACTTTATAAGCTAGTAAATTTTAAAAAAACAAAAAATTATTTTGTTTGAGTGCATTTTGTTTATGTTATAAATGGATCAAGAGAAAGAATGCTTATTCTTTGCTGCTTAATACGTTGATATCTTTAAAAATATATAGGTGCCGAAAAGTATATTTTACAAAATTTTGACTCGTAGGAAAGATTTTTGCACGTCTTTTAATTAATTAGGTTTAAACAAAAAAAAAAAAAATTAATTTGAAAAATAAATACTACGCATCACATTTTTTTGATTATTATGATATATAATTTTCAATCGTCATTCAAAGTAAATTTAAATACTAAGCGAATTGAATAAAGTTTCTTTGTCAAAATAAAATAAATACTTAATGATAAAAATCCGACTATTTTACGAAAGCTGGTTCAGACAGCTTTGAGTTGACTACCTATTTAATTCTTTACATACAATTATGCAACAACATTGTAAATATATAATGTTAAATAAATTTATAACAATTAATGTTTGGCTTAAATAAAGTATCATAAAACTATGAAATTACATCATTTATCTCTTATGTTTATTGCTATAAAAATGTACTTACCTACACATTTATAAAAATAATTCCTGCAAAACCGAGTGAAGTTCTACAGGCTACATATATTATTAGATGCTTATTCGGTACACTTATTTTTGTGTTTGTAAATGTTTTTCTAAAAAGTCAAGTGTTATAAATAAAGCACGGATTTTTATACACTGAAAAGTATCAAAATATGCAGTAAAAATCATAAAAATATGCAATAAATTTTTTTTTATTTATATACAATTTACAAATTAAACAACTTACAATAATTAATTACTTAAATAAACGAAGTAGGTATTTGCAAAAATATGCAAAAATATGCAATAACCATTAAATATGCAGAAAAAAATTCACCATTAGATTCAAGTTGTTATGATTCGTGAAGACAACTGACAAAAATCCAAAAAAGTAAAAGGGAAAAAAATGTGCAATTGCATAGAAATTTGTAGGTACTCTAGATATAAATTATTAATAATAAGTATTTAAAATAATTTATATTTTTGAAATTATTACCAAAAGAAAAAAAGAGTTTTTAACTATTCTTCGAAAAGTAGTTTAAGCTAATGTATGTACTAAAAAGTAAAACCTAATTTTTGATTATTAACAGATGTCCGAATGAGAAACCTTCGAAAATTAATAAAAATCATATTTTAAGAAGATATTCTGTCGAAACCTGAGTGATATTTCCGTTCATGTCGGATGTGTTCCAAGTGTATGAACGTAAGACTGTAAGAGTCAAAATCACCTATACTTACACAGTTACACTAACACACGATGACTCATATAACAATAATTATTTTTAAATTCAAGTGTAACTAATACTAGTATTTGCAATGCATTTTGTTTTCGTGAATACAAATATTGAATATTATGTTGTATAATTAAAAAAAAAAAATAAGTAGATAAGTGGGTACCATTTTTCAGTAAGTACTGTAGGTGTCGAGAGTCACTGTGAGGAATATATTAAATTTTAATTCAATGATACACCATTGTCTTGTTAAAATTGTAATTGTAATTTTATCAGGAAAAAATAATAAAGATTACCATTATCATTATTCAATACCTACATACAAAAAACGATTTTGAATAGGGGTGGTCTATAATAAGTCTATATCACTAAGTAATAAGTATCTTTCATATCATGTTTTTTTTTATATGATTATAATAAATAAAGTAATTTATTATAGTACCTACCATAGGCGTAACTAGGGGGGACTTGGGGGGGAGGCTTAGTCCCCCAACATAAATTTTAGCCTCCCCCTGTTATAATTCCTAGTCCCACACTCCTACCAATAATAGTAACATTTTTTAACTTAAATTTAAAATATTGTTTTATTTTTTTTATTAATATCTTAGAAAAATATTAATTTAAACTATATTATTGTATGTAATGATCCGGTGTGAGACATATCATGTAACATGTTGTGTAATTTTTACTACACAAATACTCCCTACTAAGAAGTTGTCAATAAACTAAAAATCGTTTCTTTATATCTAAAATAATATTTAATAATATGTTAATATATAAATATTTAACCTCAATACCACTTGGTTTATTATTTGTTTTATAATTAAATATTAATTTACATTTATATTACATGTATAATCAATGAATGTAAGGTGTTTGTTGGGGGGTATGGGGGGCAGAGTCTCCCACTTAATTTACTTATAATAAAAATTCTAGGGCTAAAGCCCCCCCCCCCCTAATTTTAAGGTCTAGTTACGCCTATGGTACCTACCTACTGTTATTAACATTAATAATATACCTAATAAGTTAAATTAATTTTACCAAGAAATTGCATTTGAAAATACCATTGTCAGTATAAAATATGGGATAAAAGTTATATGTGCACAGGAATAATGTTTTTGAACTATAACTAAACAACAAATATTATTATTCATAGTTTCAATATGAAATTTCATCCAAATTAAAACTTAAAATGGGTGTAAAAAAAATTATGTTTATACATTTTTTAGTTTCAGCAAAAGTTATTTATGAGGAATTTTAAGTTAAATGTGTAAGTCTTGAAAATGCTTATTTTACACATTTTTAACCACAGAACAATTTTTAATTTTTTGTTTTTTTTCTCGAAATTTGACTTTAAATGCTTATATAAATTGTGCCAATTAGTTATAAACATTTTTGTAAGGCTGTAAGAATTAGCTATGTGAAATCTTGTATTAAATTAGCAAATTTTTTTTTTTTATTGAATATGTGCATTTGGTTAATTAAATTATGGACATAAGCGTCTAATTAATAACAAGTATTAATCAAATCCGTATTAAGTTTTTTCAATACGCTTGGAGTATAGAGTAAAGCCTATAGGTAGAAATATAAAATTTGAAAATTATTCTACGAGTGATCTTGTTCACAATAATGATAAATATACACAGACTACTTAATTTATATTATTGTTTTATTTTAAGTTTTAAAATTTTTTAGATACATTTAGAATACTTAAAAATATAGATGCATAATAATATTGGACATATTAAATAAAAAATTTCTTAGTAGGACAGTAAATTATATCTAAAAATTTTATTATGTTTATTGTCCAGTCAATAAATTAGTGATAGGTGATGATTGTGAAAATGTTATAAAATTCTAAAGATTCATCACTTAATATAAATTTAAGTTCCGTATATCAACGGTAAAGTTGTAGGATTGATAACTGTCACAAAAAGTGGCATTTTTCACGATGAAAGTATTATTATGTTTTGTATCATTTAATCTATATCTTTAAATACAATTATTTGTTTTTTCCTTAGTTCAAAAATGAGATTGCTTGTCAATTTAACATCATATTTCTACTATGACAATTATTATCATCT